TGCTTAATTATAAATCTCGTTCTGTTAATTCAAATTTTCTATCTGTTAGTCAGTTAGTAGAACAACCCAAGTCAAATGACAAACGAAAAGGAAGAAGTTGTGCTAAGGATTATTGTTGTGTGTACCAAAATCAAAAAACTGATAAAGATTATTATCAAAATCAAACCAAACAATATTATCCCGAAATCAATACATTTGAACAAGATCAGTCTTGGGTACGATCAAAATATTCACATGATTCTAGTAGATCAACTAATCATAGTGCTGAATCTTTAATTAGACATCAACAAAAACATGGTTCTATTATAAAATCAGCATCAAAAAATCAAAATTTAACTAATAAACAAACTAATTGTTATAGAACAAGCCAAAAACCAAGTTATAATAACAATGAAAATTTTAGCAATTATTATAATCAACCCAATAGTAATTATCTATATGAGAATAGAAATGATTTAGATAAACAATCATCTTCATATCAAATACCAACTAATTTCTATACTCCTCCAACAACTACAAAACATAATATTTCAAATTATATACCTCTACCTACAACATTTAGTATGACAAGTTCAAGTTATAATAAACCAGTTCAACATTTTACCCAGAACACAAATAACTATTATAACAGCAGTAGTAATGTTAATACTTTAACAAACTTCAATTTAAGTACTATATTTCCAGAAATGATTGATAAGGTAAATTATAGTTATTAGTTATTATTTATTGGCATAAGCGTGCATATGAGGTAGTCATAGCTGTTGTATCTTCACTACTCTGCAGCAATTAACTTTTCTTGTTGTGTGTAATGATAATTGTTGTAATGTTCGGTATTGGATATTTGACAGTTGTCATCTGTCGCGATGGGTCATAATCGATTATAGTCAATCTCAATGCGAGTGCCGACTTACACCTCTTTTTTTCTTTTATATGTTATTATGTTTCGTTACATACAATTATACTTTTAAATATAAAAATACCCCGATTGAGCTTAAATTCTAAATGTTTTTTTCCTGCCTTTGGATACTCCTTTAAAATACTTTGGCATTTACAAGCAATATGGGTAATAGATATTAGATATGTTAAAAATTATTATAATATTCATAAAAGTGTTATAGGTAATAAATAACAATATTACGGTTAGGAGTCTGACTAGTGAGTTGAGTAATACTACTAGTAATTAGTAGTATAATTATTATTAATGTCTAGATAATATTAAATATTACCCTTCATCCCTTCTCAAAAATTTTAATAACTGTTGGACCAAAACTTAAGTATACCTTACTGATAATGTCTACTGTGCACGCTAATGCTTATTTTACATGCTTATAAGTTATAAGTTATAAACATAAATGTATTTTAGGAACCAAATATTACACCTTTAGGCGTTCCAAGTAAAAATAATGAATTTGATGTTATGAATAATTATGGAGCCAATATACATTCATCTTATTAAATACAAACTATTTAGGTAAGTTTTAATTGATTAAATAATATTTTTTTTACATTTTCTGTTGAAGGTTATTTAGCATTAGCAAATTATAATAATATGTATTTGCTTCTATATACTGATATACTTCATTGTTAGCTTCTAGAAAACTAAAATATTTTTATTAACATTATTATGATAACAATAAAAGTAGTGAAAATATAATTTTTTTTTTAATGTTTTTGTCATGAATTCTTTTGTAAAAATATGTTTTTAAATTGTTATTACTTTTCAAGATAATTATTAAATTCTTTTCAAACAATCTATACAATTTAACATACTAAGCATGAGTGAGTTAACAAGTTTAGGTTATGGGTAGATAAATTGCCCACTGGTGACTTTCCGATTAATATTTACTGTTAATAGAATCACTTAATATGCTCATAATATGTATAGTATATTTTAGTATTATTATTGATATAAATAGTATTATAATACTCAATATTATATTCAATTAATAAATATTTTTTTATAATGTATTCAAGTTATATCAAATTTAATGATACTTAAAAAAATTTTTATGATAATATTGGTTGTTTACAAGTTTCACATGATTTTTTTCTAATAAAAAAAAATATAATATTCAAATATTAAGTAATTATTATCAACTATTATATAATTTTTATTTAGATAAATATGATATTTGTAAATTTAACTATTCTTAATTTGGATGCACAAATTCTAATAGTCATCAATATAAATACTTCTTAATTAATGAATATTAATTTGATAGTTAGTGACATTTTTTGTATAATTTTGCATTTATATTTATTTTCATTTCTTACAGGTATTGACTTTGGAGATTTTTATATTTTATAAAAGTAAAAAATATTGTAAGGAAACTGAAAATTCTAAAATGTGTATGCAATCAGGAAATTTTTTCAATTATCTTGACAAAACAAGTAAATATATCAATAGTTTAATGATAGAAATTAATATTAACTATATTTTTAATTGTTTTATAGATATCAATAAATTTCAAACTATCAAAGTATAATACAGAAAAGCAGAAAATTATAAATCCTTACAACCATCATTTCCATAAAAATTTTCTATTTTTAACAGATTTCTTATTATTCTATCAAATTAATTCATCAAACTTGCTCACCCTTTCTAAAATTATTCAGTTATTCAAAATTTGATCTTCAGAGTTTTTAAATATACTTAAAGATCACATTTTCAATTTTTTTATATTTTTTGTACTACTTAAGGCATTCTGTGAAAACTTCTGTTTTTCATATGACAACCTTTTTTTATACTATAAAATACAGTGGATTCCACTTAATGTAGGCATGTTGGTATCAGTTCTATTTGACCACATTAAGCAATGTCCTTAAAAACTGAAATTTGTTCAAAATGTTTTTATTTTTCACACGTGAATCATACAGTTCAAAAAAATATTAAATTACTATATAAATAAAACTAAATATAACACATTAAATGAAATTACTTTATAGATGTGGAAGGTATACAAAAGTTGTAATGCTCGTTGTTTAAGCTGTTTAATGTGGATCTGATTTACAAAAGTGGCACACATTTCAAGCTTATTAGATGGACTATTTTAACATGATAAAATAAAAATTGCTCACATAAACCCAACCGAATGCCCATATTATGCAATTTTTTTTTAATTTTTTTGGTATACATTGGAATACCCATATTTAGTGAATGCTCACATTACCGATCCATTGTATTCAATACATAATTTTTTTTAAATTTTTGAAATATAAAAATTAAATACAAAACAAGTATTTTTTGAAACATTCAAATTTTTTACATAGAATAATTGTTTTATAATAATGAAAGTTTTAAAGATACCGAGGCTATAGTAATTAGAGACATTCTATATATTTGAAAATTTTGAAGATCAGATATAAATAAAAATTTAAATTCATTATTGAATGAAAAAATTGGAATGAACATGCATGGTACACCTCCCTATATATATTATATAATTATTGGAAACTTTTATAAGTATAAAATAAACAGTATTTACTTGAAATATTTGACTTTTTGTGATTATTTCCTACTCCTTACAAAAAAGCTAACTGGTATGATATAAATATAAGCCATTTATATAAATGACAACCAATTATTCAAGAATACTTAGCGCATAAACTTTGTTCAGTTTTTGTTGGTATAGTTTATCTTTTTAAAAGTATAATTTTGATCTGTTTTAAATGTGCTACTCATGCCTTGATCTTATAAATTAATTGAACGTTTTACTTTTCCTGTACTCAAACTTAGTACTTTTCAGGAAATCATTTTTTCATACATTCTTTTGAGTCGAATTTAATTGATTTTAGTTTTATTATTAATTTATATGTATATATAAATAAATTAAGCATACAATAGGTTTGCGTGTAATGCGCTCCAAAACTACACAACTGTTTTTAATTTTACTCATTTGTGTGATTTGATATTGTTCCAACTTTAAACATAAAATAGTTCATATCTTGATTAAAGATATATGAGAAAAAGATGAAAAGAATCACCGTTTTAGTTTTGAAATAGTGCATCTGATATTTTGATATAACTCTAAGGTCTTAATATATAATTTTGATTTTGCAGCAACAATTGTTAATAGATGATGGGCAGAAGATAACATACATGAATAACATTATACATTTTTATAATTTAGAATAATAAAAATAGTTCAAAATTAATGTTATTTACCACATTTATAAAATTTAATTTTCATGTTATCAGTTAAGAACTTTGTAAATAGCATTAATTCAATGGATTATAACAGCCACAACAATGCTTGGCAGGATCATCTAAATGTGTAAACATAATTTTATGACTACATTTTCACAATTTAATTATTTTTATATTTTATGAATATAAAAATCTTTGAATTGTTTATAGTAAAGTTTATCATTTTATTTAATAAATTTATATTTTTATTAATTCTAAGACTTTAAAGAAGGTTATTCTTAAAAATACACATATATTATTTTAATAATAACTAAAATATTTCAAAAATCATTCATTTTTTTAAAATAATATATATTTTGACAAAATTGAATAAATTTCCAATTGAGTAATAAGAATTTATTTTTTTAATAAAATTTCATCTTTCACTTGAGACTAAAACTTAATTTAATAATTATCATAACATGCTAACTACATTAATTCAGAAAATTATAAATCATACATACTGACATGCTTGAATATTTTTTATTAAAAATGTGAGTTATTTTAGAAATAACGAAGACACCAAACTATAAAAAGTTAATCCATTTACACATTCCTTCAAAAGAAATCATAAGAAAAAAATATTAATGTAGTAGCAGTTTAAGTTAAGAAATCAATAATTTTTGCAATGGTAAAAATGCAAATTAATTTAAAAAAATAAAATTCATTTTTAAGACTTAAGTCAAGCTAAGAATAATAATTAGCTAATCTTGTATTCAATTTCCAGGCCTTTTAAGTAACAATTTGATTCATTTTTGTTATTGAAATAATTGACAGCAAAAGAATTGCATTGAAATAAATGAATATCTAAACATAAAAATGTACTAGTTTTATAATTTTGTTAATTACAAAAAAATATATAAGTATAGATATAATATGAACAAATTCAAAGGAGCCCTTCCATTTCTTGCATAAATTGCATATATGCATCATCTTTAGTCTGTTGCCCAGCTTGTTGGTTACTGGCAGCAATATTAGATTTATACTCTGCAGCTTTGTGTTGTTCCCATGCATTATCTCGTTTGTTTGGTCTACCATCATCTCTTTTCACTCGGATTGATGTAGGCAAGAATCGTGTGATATCAGCTGCGAGATTTCTATTACAAATAATATAATTCACATTATTAATTACTCTAACTAGGTATTGTAGAATAAATATACTATTTTAAATATACCTCATTTTTGGTTTTGCTTCAATAGTAGATCCAGTATTATGTTGAGCTTCGTCGCGATTAATAAGTTGCGGTTCGGCACTCACAATATTTGGTGTTACAGTAGTAGCAGTAACAGCTGCTGCAGTTGTATTCATATTGTTATGCATACCAGAGTTATACCTCATCATTCTTGGTGGCATTCCAGGAGGGGGTCCAGGAGGTAATCTCACATGCATACGTGGTGGTAAACCAGGCGGAGGTCCAGGAGGTAACATTGGTGGTCGACCAGGAGGTGGGCCTGGAGGCATTCTACCAGCAGGTCCTCCTCGGTATGGCATAGGAGGAGGAACACCAACAGGTAAACCTATATATAAATATTTTTTAAAAAGCAGTGCCAATATTGAGTTTTAATTAAATAATGTATTATTACGCATTTATCATACTTGGTGGTAATCCTGGAGGTAAACGTCCTGATGGAGCAGGTAATGGTAAAGGAATTTCATTAGAGTCTTCATGTTTTCCTGTTGAACTCCTCTTTTGAACTTCATCAATCTATAAATAAATTAAAATTGTTTGAACTAGTAAAGAATATACACAATTCAATAAGTATTTAGTTATTCCTAACCTCTCTCATGAACATCTCTATATCGTCAGTAGTTTTATTTTCTTTGCCGGAATCATCTGGTTCAGCAAATCTTAATGTGCGGGAACGTTTTGGAGCTAAGTGAACAATTAAAATTAAAATATAACACTAAAAATAAAAACTTTGTTTTAATCATTATCTAACCAATTTCTCCGTCACTAGAATCATCTTCGTAATCATCATCATCCTTTTCTTCATCTGTTAATATTGGTGGTACACCTGGGGGCACACCCGGGGGCCGTTTTTTTGTACCAGATATTGGTGACATTGGTGGACTACTAAAACGAATAATACTTCTTTCGTAAGTATTTAAACAAAACAAAGTTTTAATAGTACATATCAATATAAATAATTACTAACGTATACAATGGTGGCTTTTTCAGTATTCCTAAAGGCAATTCATTAGAGTTATATTCTGTATCAGAAGCAGGTAATGGAATATTTGATGTCATAACAGGTAATGGAATTTCATCAACTGATACTTGTTGAGCTGTTTTTACTGCATCAAAGTATGATATTAACTTGAAACGACGTTTCTCGTATTCCGATTCTGCTCGTTTGATCTCATGATATTTATCAAGTTCATCCTTTACCTGAAAAAAGCAAAATTTTTTTATTCTCATATAATTTTTAATTAATATTTAGTATTTAAAAATCTTATATAATAAATAAATAAGTAACTAATCAACAACAAATTTAAATCAAAATACAAAAAACCTTAATAATGATAATATATTTTAATGGTAGGTTGGGCATGGTACTTACATACATTTTCATAACTCGATCAAATGTTTCTTTAAGTTTTCTTCTTTTTTCCCTTAATACTTTTTCATTAAGAGGAGATGGCTGAACAACATTATATTCTATATACAAATTTCAATAATATGTTATATATATATTTAATTAACAATGATTTCTAAGTAGAAATACACTTTAGTATTTATAATAATTAGCATTTATTAAAGGTATTATTAATTAATTTATACTACAATTACACTTTTGTTTACACACCATTGATCTATTCTCTTTTTTTACCAATATTTATCTACGTTTTTTTTTTTTAGAGGTTGCGATTAATTCAATCAACTATACACAAAATGACTTAAAAGATTTAATATTTACAAGCTAAAAAAATTTTTAGCTTGTAAAATCAAAAATAAACTTTGTAAAATAATTCTAACCAATAATATTTATTTAAAATGTATTGCAATCATATAAATCTGGAAATCTGGATACATAGTCACTAAAGACTCAGTCAATTTAAGAAAAATATCTGCTTATTTACTATAGTCATACCTATATTATTTAAAATAATATAATATATCAAAGTATTACAGGTAATTAAATAAATATAACCATGTTAAGTTTGAATTTATAATAAAATGTATAATTGAACAATATTGTATAAGTATATAATACATAATTATATTTTATAATTTGTATATTGATTTGGTATTACCACATTATTTGAAAAATAGCTTTATTGTACTATGCATATATTTCCATTAATATATTTTAGAAAAAGCATTATGTATAAATATATTTAACATTACCCATTTGATCAATTTTTTCCATTTCAGCAAGTATTTGTAATGGATCTTTTCCTTTCAATACAGCAGTTCTAACAATCATACGTTGTTTTTTATTTTTTTTTAATTCTTTTTTTCTGGCTTCCTTTCCTATTTAATTGTATAAAAAATGTTACAATATTTTATATACTTGATGATAATTCATGCTTAATAAAGTATATATTTAATATATTAATACTTACTCGCTTGATCTGTGGGATTCATATATTTACCACTTTTAGTGGTGTTTATCGAACGTCTCCCCATGATTTCAGTTTTCAATAAACGATTAGTATTTAGACTTAAGTTGAGTCAATTAAAAATAAATTGTATACATTCAAATAAAATAAGATTAAATGAATTACACTATTTTTGATTAAAATATAAAATAAACAAATGTCAAATAAACTGATAAGAATTATCACATATTAGTGGATTATCCTGTATGTACCCATTGAACTCTATATGATAACTGGAATGCTCACCAAGCAGTGTTGCCCGAAAGAGGATGTTAGAATGAGATAGCACATACTAATGGTGTTACTATCTTTGTCTTGCACATGGCGCTAATGTCTTAATTTCATATTTTACCGCGATATTATTTTAGTTTGGTTCTTAAAATGTAGTTGCACCTCATTATTTTTTTTAACTTCCACAAAATATTTTTTATTAATTTAATAAAATATAAATAATTAAATGATAAATAAATAGTTTATTAGTTTATAATTATAATTTAAAATAATATAACAAGTATTGAAACATGTTTTTTTGTAGACTTCTGCATTTTTTTGTCATATAAAGGAAGTAATAGGAAATTTTAAGTTGGGAATAAATTAAGTTGTAAATTGAAAGTTAGAAGGTTTTAGTTCATAACTCAAGCATATGAAATAACAACTGCATTTTTAGTAAAATAATATTTATTAAAATATAAACATAGTATTTATAATATTAATCATAATTGAAATAAAAGTGTACTTACGCTATTTACCTGGAGCTATATCTACTACTTACTTTAGATTGTACTTACTACTTTCCTAACTTAAGCTTAATATTGTAGATTTATAATTTAGGAAATATTAGTACTGGAAATATCCAGAAAAACAAAATCTGCAATACATTTTGTTATACTTCATGGCCAAATTTCCTAAAATAAATAAATATTTAAAGATACTATGATACTTTGTAGATACTTTAACTATATTCATAACCTTGGAGTTATATGATCTGTTAAGTTAACTAATGTAACTTATGTTGAGTTAAATAATAGATGTAAATCTGTTTAAAAATATCAATGAGTAAAATCAATAACACCATATAATAACTTAATACTAACTTGTGAAATGACAAGTCTTTTCTAACATCACTAGAGCTAGCACAATTAAAGGCACTACAAAAATTCACCATTTTAAGTCTTAACTGCACAGTAGGTACACACTATTTTAATTATTTTTAAAACTTTGAGAACGCAGAAGGCAGAACAAAAGTCAAAACGTTAAACGAACAACGAATTTAAAATGTATTGGTAATCAATTCATATAACTATGTGTGATAAAAAAAGATAGCAACACCATTCTTATCTGCTGTCTTTTTCTAACACGCTATCTCGGTTATGTTTACATTGGTCTTATGACTGGTGAGCATTCCAGTTATCATATAGAGTTCAATGTATGTACCAAACTATAATTTCGTAAACGAATGTTTATCAAAATTAATACCATATAATATCCATATTCTCTATAACCACAACGTCCACAACTATAACAGGTAACCACCAATTACTATGATACAAACATTTTAAAATGTATAGGTTTTTATTTTATTCCTATTAATTAATTACTTCATTTTCATTCACTTTTTTTACTCTTTGTAGTATATATTTAAGTATATAAGAATAGCATTCTCGAGATATTAAATTATTTGTTAGTTATTAAATTGTAATAATTAAATGTTGTTTAGATGCATCCTTATAAAATCATTTAAAAAAAAAACCCGGTTAATTCGTTCTGCTCTATATCCGAACAACAATTGTTGAGTTGTTGAGTTTATCTCTTCATTTATAGATTCTCTATAGTTCTTATTATAAGTAGTATCCACAGAACTCAACTTGAAGGGGCTAGGGGGGATGCAGCCCTGAGCCCCGATATTATTTGGGGTCCCGGGCCTCTATTTATGTTTAATTATTAAAGAAGCACTATGAAATTTTATGATATTATTGTTTACGTAGTTTCGTTAGTAACATATCTCGCAATGGAATTTATGATTATTCTCTAATCGATAAAATAAGCTAGGTGTTAAGTTTTTAGATAAGTTGGTCAAAAACACTGAATCATTATTATGATTACGTTAGCACTGACTATAAAAATATTAAGGGTTTTCCGTTTTTGTGAGCGCTTAGCTCTTGTCTAAACTCGGGTATAAAACATATTCAAAATTAAAACTAATTGAAAACGTCAGAAGAATGTCCCTTTACCAAGAAAAATTAAACTCACTCGTTCGTCTATTTCTATCTGCTGAAAGGGAAATAACTAACACACTTGATTTTTCAGATCTATAGTTCAAAATTTTAGTGAACTAAAATCTAGAAAAAAAAACCGTTGTCTTAAATTCTAAATCATGTAAATTTTTTTATTATTTACATTGACTATGTTGAAAAATGCATTTCCACTTTGACTTTGCGTACAACGTACATGATATATATCAGTAAACATTTGTTTAAATTAAAAACTGTATTTACACTTCTTTAGGTACTTATATTTATATTTTTAATTTCATCATTTTATTTATTTTATATAATAATTACTTATAGACTTATGGTATAATTTATTTATAATCTTTCAAAATAAATTGAATATAAAAATCTATATAGTTGATAATTTAGAATTTAGATAATAGTTAATTTTGGGACCTCATCAAAAAATTAGACCCGGGCTCTAAAATTTCTAAGTTGGGCTCTGAGTATCCAGTATAATTTGCTGTAATAGATGAATAATGTGTTAAATTTGAATTAAATGATAAATCATTTTAAAACTTAAACGAAGTAAAATGATTCTTAATAAAGACATTTACAATTTAGCCACTAGTCAACCTACATTTCTAAGGATATTTATTATTATAGGTATTTTTAATAAGTAATTAATTTTTTAGTGAATGATCGGTAGGTTGAACTATTTCTTAGATGATTTTGATAAATTTCATAAACATTTGAAGTTTAATCACATAATTTATTTAAATTGTTGTAAAACCATTTTTAAGAACTATTATCCTTATTTTTTTGCATAATTATTTTAATAATTAGGAAAATATTCATTTAAATTTTAAATTAGATACATTAACGTTTTCAAAAAAAAAAAAAAATAAATAAATAAATAAATAAAATAAAATAAATATCCACTAAATAATTTACAGTTAAATATAGAGAGGTTCCCTTTAAAAAACAGAAGTTTGTATATCTCCACAGAACACTTCGTAAGTACCAAGTTAAAAATATCTTTAGAATTTGAAAATATGGTCTCTAAGTAAATTTAAAAATTTCAAAGATTAGAATTTGAACAAATTTATTATTAAATTAAAAATGAAAGTGAGCAGCTTGTTAAATAATCTTGTATAAAGTTTTTTACTTACAAACAATATTATTCACAGGAAAATAGAAAATTATGTATCAGTTTATTGTTAATACTATTATTTGATAACTATAGTTTTGTTATCGTTGATACCTACTATTTCTATTTCTAAATTTGCCAAAACAAAAAATGTTTTTAATGAGTTATTATTTTGCTATTATTTATTAAATTATTAAACGAATTTTACAGTTTATAATAGGTTTGGTAAATCACTGTAGACTGTTGTAGATTTTAGGAAAAGTTTCAATATGCAAATGATGAAATGATAATACAAATAAGAACACGATTGAAAAATTATTCAGAGATATTTTTTCTGTTAATAAACATTAAATTATTTTAACTTTGTTCAAATTATATAACAATTAACTAAAAATTAATTAGGTAAATATATATTTATTATAAAAAAAATTAACGTAAATAAAATATAACTATTAATAGTTCTATTTTAAATAAAGTAGTCATATTGAAAGATAATTTTTTAAAAACTTGTACTAGGTACTTGGTTGAAAGTGTGTTCTTGCTTATTATTCTGTTATTACAAATTATTGATAAACAGACATATTTGTAACTTTATTATACGATATATTTTTTTGTATACATATTTTCTATATACAAATACATGCAGCGTATAGATTGTTAATATTCAACTACGCGCTAAAGAATACTTTGTGGTATAGTTATTCATTTTTAGTTATTTTTTTTGTTGTAATCTAAAATCGATACACACATAACACATCATTCTTAGAATTATTAAATAACATCAAATTTCATTCTGCTTTAAATGTTATGGTAAAACAAAAAAAATTGTGAGTGATATAGTCCAGAGGCTCATGGTGGCAAAATCCCAGTCCATAAATGTCCATAATATTTTCTCTCTGATCTATTTAATATGCTACTGATTATGTACAATACTAAAGTTTAATTTAACTATTCAATGGTGTGTGATACAGCTACTTAATCTTTACAAAGGGCTATAATTCAAAAGTCAAAATAGCGCCAATAATTGGTAAACATTGATTTAATACTACATTTTGTTCAAGTTGGTCATGCATTTCAGAACTCCAAGGAGTTTATATAAAACATTTACGTCAACAGCGTCACTTATAATTTTTTTTTCCATTTGTCAAAATAATTGATAATTTTCTTTTTTTACACAACAGCAACGAATGAACGGATTACGGAAGAAATCTATAGTTTTTGTTTTGCTCGAAGCTTTAGTCATTTAGTGACTGTTTTTTCATTTTTCTTTTGACTATTTTTATTAATATATTTGTATCATATTAAACAATTTATCAGTTCATTGTTAAATATTATTTATTCTTAAGATTAGTTCCGTTTACTAAGTATCTCCACGTAAGTAAAGATTTACGTTTTTATCCTTGTTTTGTTAGTCCACCATTAATTTTAATGCTATAATGTTCTTATGATATTATTGTGTACTTATTCAATAAATAAGCTCCTACGGTATTTGTGTGTATAGAAATGTTTAAATACTGAATATATAAATACCTAATATTATAGCTAATTGTTGAAAATATTGCTAACAAATTTATTACATATGAAAATTTTACTATTTGTAACTTGCATAATTTAATAATAATTTTAAATTTTAAGAATGTTAAGTTTTGGTATTACAATCAAATTCCTGCTTCGAGTCTAGTTTTTACATTAAATACTATTTGTAAATAATTGTATTCCTATACTTAATGTAATTTTGGGTGGGGCCAAACCAATGGATATTTAATTAGGGATTACAATATCTTTAACTTAATATAAATTTAGCTTATTTTATGGCTTAATAATTATTAAGTGAATTTGTCAAAAAACTATAAATTAAAATGTTTGATGATATAAAGTACAATAATTATTTTTTATGAAAATTATAGGTAAATAAAAACTTGAATTTATGTTTTTATAACATTGCTTAATAATTTACTATATCATAAACCATTTAACTCTTTATTTACTGTATATTTTATTGCATTTTATTTGTCATAAAAATAATGGGATCATGTTAAATTGAATATATTTAATACTTAATTATTTTGTAAATAAGGTACTAATTCTACTACGTCCTTAAAAACTAACATTTTAAGTATCATATATATATTAAAATATAATATTATTTTCATTAATAAAGTACTATCTAACTTAAATATTTATTTTAATTTTAAATGATTGTTGATTATAAATAAATATAATAATATGTTTATAAAATATAAATTTCTCTGATTGTTAGTTGACAGTTTAAATAATTATGGTTTAGTAAGTAAAGAGTTAGGTATTCATTTGTATTTAATATTTTTTTGAAAGTAATACATTTTATTATATTGTTATTATATTTTATGAATTAATTATTCATAATTGTTCAGTTAATATTTTAGTTTTTATTTCCCTATAGTTAACTATTTATTTGATTTAATAGATTCAGGATACTGAAATTTTATCACAGGGAACTGATACTAAATTTAGTCGCAGTTCAATGAGACGTGCAAATTATGGCGGTGGTAGTCGAGGAGCACCAAGAGGTGGCGGTATGAACAGAAGCGATAGTTATAGCAGCCGTGGCTCAAATTTTGGTAGCCGTGGTGGTGGAGATAGTGATGGATATAGACGTGGTGGACCAGGAGGAGGTGGAGGAAATAATTTTAATAGCTTAAAGAGTAAGCAACCTGGTGGGGCTCTACGTAAGCCAAAATGGGAAAATGAAACTCTTCAACCTTTCCAAAAAAATTTTTATACTCCTCATCCATTAGTTATAAATCGGTATGTATTTAATATTTGTAATAAATTCTATTTGTTAAATTTATTTATATTTAGTCCTAGGGTAGAAGTGGAAAATTATGTTAGGGAAAAAGAAATTTCGTATGTTGGTAGTAATATCCCAGATCCAATTATGAATTTCAATGAAGTCATTCTTCCAGACTATGTTTTCAATGAAGTTAAGTAAGTACTTGAGTATTAATGTATTATGAATGATATAAATAATATATATTTATGAAATAATTAGAAAACAAGGATTTAGCAATCCAACTCCTATTCAAGCGGTTAGTTGGCCAATTGCACTAAGTGGAAGAAACATGGTTGGAATAGCTCAAACAGGTTCTGGAAAAACTCTTGCTGTAAGTTGATGACATTTTGTCTTAAATAATTTTATTTTCATAGTTATATATTCTATGGAATAAAATAAGATATTTGATTTTAAAATTCATCAAAACATACTGATTATTTGAATAAATTTAAAATTTACTAAAGTTATCTTAGGTCAATTATTTCAAATTGCCTATATTTTTTCTTAATGTTAAAATTTAAATTGCTGACATTGAATTGTAAAAATGAAGTTATTTATTATAATAATTATTGTTTCTACTTATGTTTTTAGTATATGTTGCCGGCAATATTACACATCAATCATCAGCCTCGTCTCTTACGTTATGATGGTCCCATAGTTTTAGTATTAGCACCTACTCGTGAACTTGCTCAGCAAATTCAACAAGTAGCTGTTTCATTTGGTACCTCTACATTTGTAAGAAATACTTGTGTATTTGGTGGTGCTCCCAAAGGTCCTCAAGTTGATGATTTAGAACGGGGTGTAGAAATTGTAATAGCAACACCTGGAAGACTTATCGACTTCTTAGAAAGGAATACAACTAATTTAAAACGATGCACTTATTTAGTACTTGATGAAGCTGATCGTATGTTGGATATGGGTTTTGAGCCTCAGATACGTAAAATTATTGAACAGATCCGGGTAAATAAATTAACTTTAATTTTTAATATTAAATCTTATACGATTAGATATATAAATCAATAAATATTTACCAGCCGGATCGTCAAGTTTTAATGTGGTCAGCAACATGGCCCCCCGAAGTTAAAAATTTAGCAGAAGAGTTTTTGGATGATTATATACAAGTGAATGTGGGCTCTTTAAATTTATCAGCTAATCATAATATCTCTCAAGTAGTCGACGTATGTGATGATTATGAAAAAGAACAAAAGTAAGATTTATTAAAGTTTTAATATATTTCTTGAAAATAATTAAACTTTTTTTTCAGGCTATATGCTTTGTTAACAGATATATTTTCTCAACCAGACAATAAAACTATCATTTTTGTAGAAACTAAACGTTCTGTTGATAATATTGTGAAATTAGTGAATCGGAATGGGTAAAACATTTTTATTTTTAAATTTATCTACTTGATAACATTTTTAACTTAAGATACTCAATTTTTGCTGGTTGAAAAAAAAATATTAATTTATATAACTAATCAATGTAATGTTTAATATCTGTACTATTGGGTATTTGCTCATTTTATTCATTTGAATAAATTATTACTATTATTTTTATATTGAGTGTTTTATGTTTCAAATTATCACCTAGATTATTTTATATAATTTAAATATTATATTAATTTTGTTTATCATAATGAAATGTCAAGATGGAGATCCATTGGAATACATGGTAATAAGTCTCAAAATGAACGCGATCACACATTGAATCAATTTCGTTCTGGTCAAGCAAATATTCTGGTGGCAACTGATGTAGCTGCTCGTGGTTTGGGTAAGTTGCAGTAAAGAAAGCAAATCAGACCGTGGAACCCAGATTCCAGACTGGTTGTAATTGTATCGATGCCTTCGATGGTCTTGTATCTACTTGCTCAGCCGGTCGGGTTAATGTCAAAGAAAACAGAGCACATCGGATGATTTTCAAGGCACGTAATATAATATAGCCTATTTTCTTTTTTCTTTTTTTTTTTTAATTCTTGATTATCAATTCAAGAAAAAACTACACAAACAACATGTAGGGCTGGTGTTTTAATCACGCCATGTGTGTGATTATATAAATCTGGTCAAAAATGAAATGTGAATATATAAGCGGATTCAGGTTATTCTGTGATAATTTAAAGCTCATCTAAAATGTATCGATTCTAATCCGCTTAAATGCTCAATCATTTGATCAGTAATTACATCAGCCCAACACTTAATAAGGAGGCTATGTTATACCAATTGACCTTAATTAGGCTAATATTAGTGCGATAGAATTTTAATTATCTGAAATTTATTAATTTTTATTTTATTGACTACTTGATAATTTGACTACATGTTTATAATTATTGGTAAATTATTCATTAAACTTTAAGATACTATCTAAAAAGTTGTTCAGATAATTAAATAAATTTGACATTTAGTTAGTGACCTACTGGAAACACCATAATCTTCTATAATTTTATAAGATAAACTGAAATAAAAATATATTCATTCTAATTATCCAAAATAAAATATATTGCCAGAGAATACTATAATATCTGATGAATGAAAATCATACCACATTGATCGACTATATATTCAATTAACCTATACATTTTTAACTAACAATCAATTATAAAATTGTATGAACCCTTGAAATAGAGATCATACACAAATGATTAAAAATCTGACTTCTCAATAGAAAATAATTAAAAATTAATCATGTATTTTCTGGAAGATATAAAAAGTTATGCTTGTAATTTAATTTTATATACCTGGTAGGTCACATACTAATGAATGTCTAAATTTCTACGCAAATAAATATCTGTTGAAAGAGACATTCTCGATAGGCATAGAGGAGTAATTAAAATATAAATGTGAAGGAGCAAAATATTCAATATATATTATTAGCATTGTGCTTATTTATTTTTTTAGGAATTTATTTTAGTTTTATTCTTAGCTTTTAATATTGATGAGCTTAATCAATTCTTGGACAAATTTTTAATTATATTGTAATGTAGGATCAAAATTTAAATAAATATGTATATAATTATTTTTATTGTTCATACATTTTGAATGTCAGATTTAAATTATTTTAATGACACTATCGACAACTTACATTAAAATACTTAATTGAGAGTTTAAATTTTAATTTTGTAAGAAAAATATTTATGTTCCTTAGTAAAATAACTTTTGTACCAGACATATAATTTTTTAAGCCTTTTATATTTTGTTTAAATTTTTTATAATTTTAAAGCAACATTAAAGTGGCAATTATTTCAAATTTCATTAAAAATTAAAAATCAATATTTAATGAAATATGCAGTTAAGTAGGATTAGATACTAAACTCTGACCATGATGTCAAGCATTTTTAATGATTCAGTTCAATATTTTTTACTGGTCTTCTAGTGCAGAATGCAACAAAAAAACACTGAAATGATAATTCTTCTTTAGTAACATAACAGTCTAATATAAACATGATAGCTTCTAAAATTAATTTATCTTTTAAACTATTTTACTAAATATACTAAAGGAGTATTTAATTAATGCTAAACTAAACATTGGATTTATTAATCAAAAAATCATTGTAACTAAAATAATAATAATAATAAAAGTAATATTATCTCTGATAAACAGTGGTATTAATAAATTGTACATTATATTATGTATATAATAATTATAGTTACTTCAATAGTATTTATATGTATTATTAATTGCTTGAATATGATTTACAAAATTTATTGAAAATACACCATTTATTATAATACATATAATGCAATATAAATTCTGCCTATTTAAGGTTGTTATTATCACAAAATAAACAGTGATTATAAGATATTTAAAAAATAAATAAATATTTTAATAGTTTTTAATGTGTTAAATATTTTTGAAATATTTATTATAGTTTATTTGTGTAACTACTAGAGTTTAGTCACTAAATAGTTTTAATGAGAAAAGTTGTAGATGAAATTTAAATGTTTACAATTTTTTCTGAGTATCAATTTTGTATTGATGTAATATTTTATATTGATATTATTTCAAGTTGTTTTGTAAAGGAAATATATTTTGCCCTTCAGAAACGGTTAAGACTCATCATAAGAAGTTAGAAGATAAAACATGACATAATACTAATGAATAATAACTATTATTCATTGTATAAATTTATATTATAATGTTGTATATTATGTCACAAATAATGCTCCTTCATGTTAAATAAAGGCATCTGAAATATTTTATATTATGTCAATCAGTCTGGTAATTTTGTATATTATTTAAAAATGTATTACAGGTTAACATCATTCTTATTCAACAAAGTAATTTTGTTCTAATATACTTAAAACTGTTTTTATTTATATTGCTACAGTTAAATAATATTTGAGTATATTATTTCATTTAAAAGTATTTTAATTGTGTGTTCTATTTCTATAAAATTTTGTTATAATTATATTGTTTATATTATGTGGATACTTTTATAAAGTATCTCATTTAAGTTTTTAAAATTAGTAAATTGTTTTGAAGAACTTTCAATTTTTGTGTTGAACATTTTATTAAAGTTCATAAAAATTGTAGTGCTTGATTGATTACATATTTTAAATTCTTAAAAGAGCAATAAATGTAATTCTTATTACATTAATAATTAATGACCCAATTTTTGTAAAACCATTTGATAAAATTATATTAGGTACAAATACAATAATTAAAAATCAAATCATTTATATCAGTATAAATAAATTTTAACTTATTTTTTTGTGTATTAAGGATTTTTTATTGACTAATTATTAATCAATTTTAGGCAAACAAACTGTTAATTAATTAATACCCCTTTTTTGTTTTTTGAAGAAAAAAAGTAGTTTTTTAATACTTTTTAAATTGGTAAAAAACTTGTTAATAAGTAATTTGCTTTCATGTTGATTTATTTCTTAGACAACAATAATCAATGCAATTTAAAGATTTTGCTTATAAATTTTTTTAACAAGCATTTAAAATTGTATAACAGGGTCTAGGTTGGCCAACTTGCAGTTCTCATCTTTGTCAGATGCAACTCACATTCTATTTATAAAATCAAAATTTCCTTATCATTATGAATCTTAATTTTTTGGTATATATTTATAGAAAATTATCAAGTTATATAAAATGTATCTATGAACATTTTGGCTCTTGATATTGTAATAGTTATCCTTGTAACCCTTGAACATTTTTATGTTGGCCATCCCAGTTATATAAACATCGAAATGAAGTCTTAACTCTCATTAGAAAATATATTTCTTTAATTGATTTATTATAATTATAAATTTTAAAATAATATGACAAGTGTTTAATAAAATTAGAACTACATGATGCTTTATTTTTCTTGTTAAGCATAAAAAATATGAATAATTATTAAAAATATTTATCTACTTTTAACAACTGCTATCACATATATACGATGTCATATAACAAACACAACTATCATCTTGCTCTTGAGTATTCACTTTCTTGTTAATTAAAGTGTAAAGAAATAAAATCTTCAATTAAAAATAAATAAGTATATTTTTCTAATGGAGTAAATTTAATAGCTGGGTATAGTCATATTTTAATGCAGTAGTCTATACTAGAGTAACTAGTGTGTTTTTATGATTTAAATAAATTTAGTGTTTTGATTGTATTAGTTATTAGTAAACATCTTAAATTAAGATGTTAAATTTAACACTTTTTTTAAGTTATCTGTATTGAATCTAAAATGATTTTTTCTTTTCACTAACTATGCATTGGTCTATTTAGATTAGTTTTCTTTTTAACCTAATTACATGAATTACATGTTAAACAGCTTAAAAATACACAGAATAATTCATTTTATAAGATTTGTTTTTAATATTTAATTAATTTAAGGTTATTATTATTTTTTTATTCTGTTTACTATCCCTATTTTTATTAATGATATACATTAACTATCCATCTTAATCATATTTTGATTTTTTTAAATATTAATAGCTTAATATTTTATTGCTAATTAGATGTGGACGATGTCAAATATGTGATAAATTATGATTACCCAAATTCATCTGAGGATTATGTACATCGTATTGGTAGAACAGGTCGTTCTAGCCGTACTGGAACAGCATTTACATTTGTCACTCCCAGCAATGCTCGTCAAGCCAAAGATCTCATATCTGTCTTACAAGAAGCTAAACAAGTCGTTAATCCAAAGCTTTTTGAACTTGCAGAAATGGCTGCTACTGGAGTGTTTGGAAAGAGTATGTTTTGTTAAATAGTTTAAGGTCTTTGATTTTTTGAATAATAATTATATACTAAATATTTTAGTGGATCGCTCCAATCGTAATCGTGACCGCGGTGGACAAAACAATCGAGGCCGTGGTAATCATGACCGTGGTAGTCGTGGAAATTATGGTAGTGGTGGCCGAGGTGCATATAGAGGAGGAAATCGAGGTGGTTACATGGGCGGAAGTCATAGTTCTAGTCGTGATAGCTATTCAAGCGGAAATCAGGGAGGTCGTAGTGGATTTACAGGAACTATTCCTGTTAACAACATTATGAATAATAACAATGGTACTACTCCTGGTCGTGAAAGAGCTAGCAGATGGGGAGATAGCAACAACAGTCAAGTAACTCAGCACCAACCTAGTCAGCATCAACCAACATTTGTGTCACAGCCGCCAGTTCAAATGCCTAATATGAGCAACCCACCTCCTGGTTATGTGAGCAATTATGGGTTTCAGGCGCCACAACCAAACAGTAACTTTAGAGGAGGTTTTTAATTTATGACTTTCATTTTTTTTTCTTTTATATATATATTAATTATAAAGCACTTTATTTTCAAACATAATTTTATTAGATAACAATGGAATGTCTAGAAAAAGTAAAAAATAAAAAAATTATACCCGTGTAATATTATTTTTAGTAAATTATTGATAAATTATGATTTATGAATATACTTATTTATATAATATTTATATATATATATATATATATATTCAATATTTCTAACTAAATTTTGATTATTTATTATTTGAAATTTTATTTTAAACAATTATTAAATTGAATGATAAAAAATTCTTTTGTTCTAAATAGTACTCAATGCTATTAAGATTTATGTGGATAGAACATTTTTGTATTAATGTTTTGATATTTAAAATACTTGGTTTATAACATGTAAAATTATATTTTCTGCTGATAAAAAAATGTATGTTAAGTATAAAAACATATAATTCATTCTTCTAAATAAATTCAAATATATTTCAAAATGTAAGTTCTCACTCGTTTGTTAGTTATTACTATTTTTTTACACAAATATTCCATAAAAGTAGATATTTTATGGTTGGATGTTAACTATTGTATTGTATTATATTTTATTAAATTTTGCAATTATGTTAAAAATAAATTTTATGCAATAATATTAAATGGTAATAAGTACATCAAATTGTTGAATGTAGATATAACGATACTCAGTCTTAGTGCTTAAGTAGGAAGTATAAAAAAATGGTTCTTAGATTTGGAAAACAAATTGGTAAAAGTTATGTAATTGATTGAATTAAATTTCAATATTGAATTCATACAATTTTTTAAAGTGAAGATTACAAAATTAATTTATTATACTAAACAGAATGTACCCTGTTTCCCACTCCCAATTCAAAGACTGGTGATAACATATCTCAAACTAATAAATAATGATTAATATGAATTAATTACATAATAAATATTTTATTGGTACTTTTAATTTGGATTTTATAAGTTTGAAATCCAATCAATCCTGTGAACAAATTTTAAATGAACTTTCCTTGTTCTAATTTTTTGTAATGTAAGAATTATAAAAAATTGTGGAACTTGCTTTGATGTGTAGTAAATATTGAGTGAACTTGGTCATTGAATGATGAAGTAAATTTGAATTCAATAATAAAGATTTAATTATTTTATTTGAATAACCATCAGCCTATAATAAAAGGAGAAAATAAATAAAATTGCATTAACCAGTAGGTACTTTTTAAAAGTTGAACCTTAATAGGAGAGCTTGAGATAGATATTTAGACCATATTCAAAATTTTAATGTTCAGATGTGAAATTTAGAGCTAATTAGAGCACCTTCATTTCAGTTTTGTTTGTTTTGGATTTGAATCATTTTTCAATTAATTTAAAAATGTAAACAGAAGAATCAAGTTTGGTTATATTTTTTTTTGAACATTTAATAAACAAATATATGTTTATCTTTCAATAATTATTAATTCATGATGCCACACTATTTCAAAATATATGTTATTATTCTTTCTAAATCTAAAAAAAAATTATAATTTATTTTTTTCATACAAGAATTAAATAAGTAGCCAACATTTAATTGGATAAGAAAAATGTATTATGTTGAGATTTAAAACTGATATTTGAAATAATACATTTACATTTTAAATATAAAATGTTTTTTTTCTTTTTAATAATATACACACATAAACTTAACTTCACTTGTCTGAAATAGTTGTATAATTTAATGATGAATATAAAATATATTTAAAATGAATGTTATGAATTAAGAAAAAGTACAAATTTAGCTGGTTAATAATAACAGTGGAGTTAATTTAAAACTTATTCCTTTACATTTTAGCTCCTATCCTGGCTAGCTTATCAGCTTCCTCGTTACCAGTAATTCCTTTATGGCCAGGAACATATATCTAAATAGAAAACTAATTAAATTTAGAACAAAATTTGAAGTAAATTGTTTTTATATTACCCAGCTAACTGAATCCATAGACTGAATTCTTTTATTTAATACCATAAACATTTCTTTATTTTTCACTTCAGCACCTGCACTAGTTTTCCACCCATTAGCCTGCCAACGCGGCATCCATTCATTTACACTTTTAATGACAAAATCTGAATCTGTGTGTATACTTATTCTAGTAAGACCTAAAAATAAATTAATGTTGTTTAGAAAATTTGCAAGTATAATTTGTTTTAACAACATACACATAAATTACCAGTAGAATTAACACGTTCAATTGCTTTAATGGTTGAAAATATTTCTGCATTGTTATTAGTTTGTATTCCAGGTACTTTTATTGCCAAATTCCTAATAAAAGTATTAATTTCAACAATGTACTAAAATATGATTTATCACAAAAACACTTACAAAGGATGACTTTTTCCAAACCATACTCCAGCTCCTGCAGATGCTCCTTTATAACCATTATTCGAACAAGCACCATCCGTATAAACAATAACTTCATTTTTTTCATTGAACGTGAACGATTTTTCTAAAATTTAAACAATATGAGCATATTATCTTTTAATCTGACACCTACTAAATAAATAATTCATTTAGTTTTGATATTATTTTTGTAAAAATGTAATTTAATTATAGCTTTAGAAGTTAAAAAAAAAATAAGTTTTTGAATAAACAACTATTTATTTATCTTAACTGAATAATAAATTATTATATAATGTTATGTAATTAAATAACTGTTATAATTACTTGCTGATTCTAGTTCAGATGGGAGTAAGTCGGTACCATCTATAACATCAATATTAGGAGAACAAAAATCTTTTTCATTAAAAAATGTATCTGATGGTGTACTAGTTAAACATTAAAAAAAAAATATATTTTTATGAGTTTGTTATAATCTACTGTAAGTAATATAAATGTTATAAATGAAGAGAATCAATTTACAAAAGTTAAGAAAAATTAACATAAAATAAAATAAAACAATCCTATAAATTATTTCTTTCATATTACTAAGGATAATTATATAACTGTATCGCACACTAAAGAGCAGACATACTTTATGGTAGTAACCAAGGACAAGTGTTCTACGGATTCAGTTTCATTTACATTCAATATTTCATGAAGTTTACCAATTACTAAATTGTTTAAATTTTTTAATTGGTCTAAACTGGTCACCGATAATCCTGTTAAAGATGATACAGCAAGCAAATCACTGAATGCCATTTTTATCTGAAGAAAATATCCAAAACATAGTAATTAGTTATTAATAAATTAAAATATAAATAAGACAAGTACTTTTTTTATATGGTCTTTAACTAAACTGATCGGAAAATTTGAATTTTCGGATCTTTTCCTTTTCACACCTTTGGAATAATCATTAGTGCTTGGTGTATTTTGCACAATCTGGAATTTGAAATCTTTAATATATTTCTCTGCTTCTATTTTTGTATCAAATTTCTTAGCAAATGAATTAGGAGTAGCATCTCTCAATCCACGAACTGCTTCCCTATAAATCGATGTTACTATTTCAATGTTTCAATATGAATTAAAAACAAGCAATTTGTTATGTTTTTAATTAAACATATTTCTTCAGTAGAATGTGTTGAAGTGTATATTCAAATACTAAGATGAACTTACCAGTTTGCGGCTATTGCACCCGCTTTCTTAGACTTGAAAATTACAGCATAGAACGGCATATCAAAGAAACTACAAAATATTCGTTTAATCGATAATAGATTACGGTATTTATAATTATAACCACTGAAATACATAAAACTCAGATTCGTAACGATTGACCATAGAAATACTATCAACTACCTATCGAGTATCTAAACAACAACGAAAATAAATTCACAGATGGTGATAAATTTAACTTAAAATTGGTTAAGTCATAAACGATGACGAATAACGGATGGGAGTGATGGCTCAATCGTTCATATTCAACCACCGTAGTTCAAGTAGTTCAACTGTCCAAGATAAAAATTAGAAAATGAAATTTAAAAATGAATACAATTTTTATCATCATGTTTATAGATAAGAATATTACGATCTCCTAGTTCCACCATTGACACAGCTGACGGGTCTGAAGCAGTCGACAGTCACATGGATCCCCCGACATCTAGATTCAGGTTGGAAACTGTCGTAAGAGGATAAAATTGACAAAAGATTAAAACGTCTATACTCTACGGGGTTTTATAAATTAATTCAATTTATAGTTGAAATTTTTGACTTTTAAGTTTTAATTAGTATTGTTAATTTTTATATTTAAATTAAGTTATTTTATTAATTTTAAATAATAAAAAAGTTTCACTTTTATATCGTAATAAGTAGGTAATAAGTAACTAGGTAGGTATATAATTACGGTTATGAATTGGAATAGCTTTAGATATAATAATATTATAAAACCATAAACCCTATAAATAATTCATATTACGTGTATATATGAGATAAAAAAAATATAATTAATGTCTTATTAATATACCTACTTTAATACTTTTTAACTTTTGATTATACCTGCGACCTGCCATAATTTTAACCTAATGTTCTAATAATATAATATTATAGATATTATAATACCTTTTTATCCCATTTTTAGTCGTTTCAAAAATAGGGTATCGGGTGAACAATTCATTTAAATTAATAGTAGGTACACAATATAGATTTTTACCATTAGTAAGGATTAAGGAGTAAAGACACTTACATTTTTTCACATTTGACATGTCACAAGGGTGGTAGGTGGAACAGGTTCATCCCCTTCATGGTTTATAATGTCGTGCTATTAAAGTTCGTCACTCTTGAGTAGGTCGGAGGTCCTAGACCCTAGTTCACCATTTTGGAATGCTAATGTGATTCTGCAGATCAATAATTGACAGTAGTTTAATACATCAAGTGAGTACTGAAAAAATAAAGTAGTTTTGTACTTATTTTACTTCTTCTTAGTCAGCTTAATGGTCCAATTAGGACCAACGCTGCCAAAAAAATCTACCTTTCTGAAACGTTGTCTCTAAAATTGCGTTCTGGTCTATTAAAAATATATATCAAAATATTTTGTAACTATGTCAATCAATGGGTTTTAGATTGTCCTAGATGGTATTGTTTTATTTATTTTTTTGACTAACACATTTTTAATTTTGATAAAAAGGTGGGTTTTAATTGGAAAAAAGAGCCTGTACCGTCAAAGGACACTCCTTAAATTATGTAAAATATGAGTAAACATAAAAATGTCATAAGTCCAAAAAAAATTCATCGTTGATAAGGAATGAATAGCAATACATGCTTGCGAATCATAATGCATACTATATAGGTTTTAAAGCGTATTATACGTTTATAATTCCTATTATAGTATTATATATCCATTTCCAAGAGAACATAGGTGCACATCCAAACTATAATATATATTTTATATGCATTTATATTCTAAATATATAAGTTTATAATAACGATAATATTTTTAATTTTATAATCAAGTTATAACTTATAACACATTTTGTATATATTTTTTGCCTGCAGTCGTATAAGTTGGAAAAAAATAAAAGGTCATAGGTTTAATCATTTCATGGTTTAAAGTTTAATAACTATTTATACATAGGTACTCACATAATATCAAATAACAGATGTAATTTAAGTAGATATAACATTTAATTCATATTGTGTATCAATAACAACTAATCATACGAGAATAACAACTCAATGCCTATATATAAAAATGTACTAGGTAATAAATATTATCTAATAAATTTTGCTTACACGAATTATGAAAAATATTTGTGTAAAATTCTTTAAATATGTTTTATGAGCATCTTTTAACTAAATTGGATTTTCTCGCGAAAAATAACAATTTATTATCAAATAGTTTTTTTAAATTATTCAAAATCTAAATTAATCATAGATTTGAAATTTTCCAAACTTAAACATTTTCTACACATAATATAATTTTCAAAATATTTTGACTTGTTTTGAGCTATTTATAGAGATTTAAAATTTTTGAAGTTTCTTAATTATTTCCACAAATTTAAAAATATCAACAATTATTTATTTTTGTATTATACCATAAAAACCAAAGTTGATTTATAAAAAACTAAATTTAAAATTTGCTTATTTATTTATTTATTTTATTTTTTTAAATACCTCTTATAAGTACAAACTAGATTTAACTTGCTATCAGAAAGAGCATTTTTCCATTAAATATACATTTTGAATACATTATGTACAAACAAACAAAAACAATACATTATTGTAAAATCAACACTGTCTTCACTCCGTTCAAAATCTAAAAAAAAAAAACGTTAAAATAAAACCAATTGTTCACTCAAAATATATAAATCTAATATAGAATTGTTACAAAAACGCTAATTTTGTGAAATTATATAATATATTTATGATAACATTTTGAAGAAGATAATACAATTTAATATAAAACATGAGAAATAATAAAATATATAAATTATTTAAATTATTATTTACGATATTTTTTAATTATTACTTTAAAGTTTATTTGAAAAATGTTGTAATTTATAAGACTGGGATAAGATAATTTAATAATAGTGGCACCAATTGAATTTAATAGGTACAAAATCTCACATAAGTTTTTCTTGTATACTCGTATGTGTAAAAACATTAAAAATACATAAGTACAATATAGCCCAGACGGTCAGTCATATAGTCTTTTTTCGTAATTAAAATTTAACACATCCGTTATAGTGACTCCCTAACACCAACTGTTCAGCACAGCTGCACAGCGGTACCCATTTGTCCATCACCATTTTATGCATTAATATCCTTATAATTATGTTTGTTATTTGATGCTACAAAGAAGATTTATCAATTCACGATAAAATATTAGACCTACTATTATTATTTGAACATTTCCATTTCATTTTTCGTTTCTTTTGTTGTTTTACAAATTAGTACTTTACACGATTTTACATAATTATTAAATTATATTAGTTCTTTTGAATTTTTCACGTTTCAAAGTACCTTATTATTTTAAAATGACAAATGTTACATTACAACTATGTTAATTGTAAATTACAATAAATTAGTGGTATACCAATTTTTTAAGGTAAGTATCTATTGAATACAAAATCTATATGTGAGTGCCTAAAATATAATTGCTAGATAGGAATATGGGATCAAGGAACAAGGTTACATAATCTAACCTTTCCTCTTTGAATTTAAGAAATAAAAGCAGTTTTTAATTTATATTACTCATTTTTCAAGAAAACAACGGATCCCACTGAACATGTTTACTTTATAAAACAGTATTAGGTCAAATAATATCCTATAAATAATAGTTAGCATCTGACTTTTTTATTATAATAATCAATTTTTTAAGCTTATTTTTAAAATATTTATATTGAAACTATTGATCAATAAACTATAGAAGATAAGATAATATTTATAGGTACCTATATAAATAATCGTATGTAAATCGTTAACTTAGACTAAATTATTTTAGAATCATTGGGACTTCTGTAGGTGGAAAATAATTAAAAATGAAAGCTTTAGAATTTGGTAAGTATATATAATTTCTGAAAAGTTAAATATATTATATTATGGATATATACATAATCATCACATTTTACTTAATTCGAGAATGAAAATTTTGTCAATATATTAAATTACTGTTCTGTTATAGTTTTTATTTTTTTCTTGGTCGTCTCTGGATATTGTAACGAGCTGGAATTTCCCAAAGGATTTTTATTCGGGGCTGGCAGTAGCGCGTATCAAGTAGAAGGAGCATGGAACATTTCTGGTAAGTCAATGTATAATTATTTATTATAATAAGTGAAATCACAGTGTTTGATTAAAAAGTAATGAAGTTACTTTATTTGATGATAGAAATTGTTATAAAAATAGTTAACTTTTTAATCTAAAACATAATTACGATACTTCCATGTTATGTAAAAAAAATAGTTCACATCGTGCATGTATAAATGTATTTCTTTAATTTATTTTTAAGTTATTTGATAAATAACGTAAGTACCTATAAACACCTACATAATAATACAATAATATTAAAAAAAAAAATTTAAATAATTAATTAACAGTTAACAATTGCAAATATATAACTTACAAAATTAAATTATATTAAGATATAAGTTATAATTTATAACTAATAAGATATATTTAAGTTGTGTAAAAACATAATATCATCATTTTACCCGACCTGTTTATACAAAACGTTTTATACATTTCAAGAAAAACAAATTAAAAAATAAATTTATTTAATCGACTTTTTTTGTAATGTATATGTGGTTCAAACGATTGAAAACTGAATTGTGACGAGTTAAAATTAAATATACATACAAGAATATATTTATTTGTATGCCCAATAACTGATTTATAAATTAAATTTATAATATATTGTTTATTTTTTGAACTCAAAATACTTGAAACGGTGACGCGTATTATATCATAAGAATTACATGTTAATCAAAATAAGTGCCCATTACATTTTCGTTCAAAAAAGCGTTACATTCGTTACGCTATCACCTAACACTGCAGATTATAGATTTGCAGTTTAAGTATATCGTTGTTTAATTTATTTAAATTGTTACCAATTATATATCTATTTACGACTCGCTCTAGCCACTAAAATTAGGTTATATTAGGTACGTGATAATTTATTGTTGTTAAATTTTATTAAAAATGTCTTACGTGCAAAGGCAAGTCCGAGAGTATCTGGGATGATTTGACGCATCATAGGAAACATTTGATGTTCATACACACGTTTGTGCCGAAGATAAACAAAAACATTAACTTTCGTTTATCCGAGCCGTCGACAGACGCCCTTTTTTTCGCCTCCAAGACCACCCCTATCTTGGGCCATCAACCCGTCGAGCCAACCTCCTCTTACATGGAGACCATAGATAAGTACATGCAACAGTGGCTGGATGGTAAATACACTGCGATGGTTGGCGCTCCACCGTCTTCAAATTTCAACCAACTATTCAGTATTAATTACAACTTGACGGACTTTTCCTACGGCACGCAACCGTTGATGGTTGATCTGCCACACCGGCCGCCTAGGGTGGTGGACTACTACAAAGGGGTAGCCATTTATGAACCGCTACCCGACAATTTGTTTCGTTTTGTGCTCAAACTTCCTTCCATCAATGAAATTTCCACTTACGACTTGTACACTTTGCACACAGAGTCTCGCCCCGATCTAAACACGGCTACTGGAGACGTAGCATGCAATTCGTATTACAAGATCGATGAAGACGTTAAATTGCTGAAGGATCTCGGGGTAAATATAGTACTTACCGGCTACCTCGAAGTAGTATAAGTTATACGATTTTAGCACAGAATGATTTTTTTAACCACAAAATAGTTGTTTATGTGGTTTTGTAAATAATTTTTTTAAATAAATGTAAAGTCTTTACAATTAATTTTTTTTTACAATTTTATCATTACTATTTTTAAAAATTTTTAACATCATATATCGAAACAAAAACATTTTTCTGAAAATTCAACTCATAAAATTTGAATATTGTACTTGTAATAGCTAATTAGCTCTAAACATTTATAAATTTAAAAAAATAAATGGAGTGTATATAGTGAAATAAAATATGCTGATTAAGTTGTGTGAATAGTAAAAATATGTAGTTACAGTAATTACTTTTAACTTTTCTAGGCAAAAGTTTATAGATTTTCATTAAGTTGGCCAAGACTATATCCAAAGGGAAATGCCCGAGAATTTAATGAAGATGGTGTAAATTATTACAATAGATTAATAAACACACTTAAAGAAAATGGTATTGAACCTTTTGTAAGTATTCATTAGAGATGATAAAAATTGTTATCTAAAATTAATTATTTATTCAATAATAATATCGTTATTTATTATTTTTGTTAATTATTGTATTCGAAAAAGTTTCGGAGCCGAGCTCAGTTTAATTTATTATATATGGTTAATTTTTTTTTTAATTATAAATGTTAGTAAATGATGATAATAAAAAAGAAGAGACTGTTTTTTTTTTAATTCTCTAAAAATAGTTGAAGTACCCTTGATTTAAAAATTTTGATTTTTGATTTCTTACCTAACTTAATTAATAAGAAAATAAGTTTTAAGAAATAAATACCTAATAGCAAACGCGATATTTTAAAATTATGTAATTATAATTTAAGTATTTATTATTTGTAAATATATTACTATACACATTTTTTAAGCGCTCGTATGCTTTAAATTATTTATAGACTAATAAAAACATTATAGCATTATACATATAGCGTAATTGATTATTCATTAATTGTTTTTTTTTATAATATGGCAAATTAAATAACACGAAATTTAAATAAAGGTTACAATACATCATTTTGATTTACCAAGGACTCTGCAAATGATTGGTGGTTGGTCAAATAAGGCCATGATAATTTATTTTAAAATATTTGCCGATTTTGCCTTCAAAACTTTTGGTGACCGAGTGAGTTTATTTACTACAATATTTATTAATTCATTAAAGAATCAAATTTAAATACAATTTTGTTATTATTATTTAATTTTAATTAATTCTTAAAAATTAAATAAAGTGTTTATAATAATTTAGGTTAAACTATGGACAACAATTAATGAACCTTCTGTGGCGGTTGAAGGATACAAGTCTGTGAATGCTGCTCCAGCGTTTGGACATCATATGAGTGGTGTAGCCGATTATTTAGCTATACACAATATGATCCTTGCCCATGCTAATGCATATGATATTTATAAAAAACAATACAAATCTACCCAAAATGGTAAAATTTATAATTTTTTTAAACAGTTGTATATTTTTAATTTTTGTATTCAGCTAGGCGAGAACTAGTAGAGTATATCATACCAAATAATAATTGTATTATTATTTAGAAATACCTATCTAGAATGTTATATAATGTATTCACATTTTATATTATGATTGAGTTTAGATATTGTTTATTGACTATTACACATAAACACTTACTATATAGTACATTAGTACATTAATTATTGAAAATAAAAACAAAATTTATTTCGAGAAATCACTGAACTGTTTTACTACTATATATCATATATTTTAATAATTATTACGTATTAAAATATATTTATTTATTTTTTCAGGGAAAATTAGTGTTAATGTAGTTGGTGATTGGTATTTTCCGTTAAATAAAGACAAACAAGAGGATAAAGATACTGCTGAAGCAGCATTAAAGTTTCAAGTAGAATAAAAGTTTATTTATAAATATTATGGCTTTTGATTTATTATAGTTTTCGAAATTTGAAATTAACATTTTTTTGATTTTTGTACAAAAATTAGCAAAACTAAAAAGAAATATTAAAATACTTTAAGTATATAATCTAATACCTACATAGGACTTCTAAGTTTTGAAAACCAACACTTTGATAAGTTTGATTGCCCTATACTTAGTTAACTATACTATAAACAAAAAATGTACTTATACATAACTAATATTTATGTCATTGTAATAGATTGAAATAACTAATATAATGAAATATTGTCTAAACATTTTTTCATTTCCATAACTTATTAAAATTTTATTTTTGTAAAATCTAACCATTTTGAAGAGTTTTGAGTATTTAACTTCAATAATTCAATTTGTTATGATATAGACTGGGATGATACTCCATCCATTGACCTATGGTGATTACCCAGAAGAAGTACGATACAGAGTATACAATAATAGTGAACGACTAAATATCTCTAATTTGCGTTTACAAAACTTTACTGATGATGAAAAAAAATTAATTAAAGGTATATAATAATGTATAATTAATGTTTTGCATTTAATCAAATAAATTTAATATTATTAAGTAAAATAATTATTTTTTAGTATTTATATGTACCAACTAAAAATAATATTTACATTTAAAATACTCGTTTACATCAAGTAAAATTTCAATGTATCTTATAATATATTTTACATAAATAAAATAACTAATAATTAATAAACCTAACATTAGGTAATATTTTCAATTCATCTGTTTATATTTTGTGTGAAATTTTTTTAAACAACATTTCAAATACTCATTAGTCATTTCCACCAAGTATATAAAATGTAGTATACTGTTTATTTTACTTACAGGTTCTTATGATTTTGTGTCATTAAATCATTATATGTCCTTCGAAGTGACTGATTTGCCTCCAAATGAAAGAGAAGGAAAAAGTGTAAGTGAACTCGATGCAAATATAAAAAGGATGCTACTTAAAAGTGATGAAGAACTTGAAAATAAACCATGGTGTAAAGTAATGTATACCTATACTATTAAATATTTAAGTAATGGTCACTAAAACATCTTCATTAAATTCACTGATAATTATGAAATAAGCAAAACGTCAAGAATAAAAATAGTGTAGTATAATATAGAATTTTGTATTATGTAACTGTATTTAAAAATTACAAAAATAGAATATTTTTTACATCAATTATAAATATATAAATATTTTATCAATCTGTAGTACTACAGTACACAGTCAGGCACGGCGCTAAGGAGGGGCAAAATGAGGCTCTAGCCCTCCCAGAAAACAATTCAGCCCCTTCGCCAGCTCCCCTACTAAAAAATATGTACGATATAATAAAGTCATAAAACATTATTTTTAAAAGAGCTATATCAGAGAATTTATGAAATATACTTTTTTTAAATTAGTAATATTATGTAAATACTTTCGTATTTTCAAAGATATGTGTTTTAAGTTTTTGCTGTTATAAAAACCGATTAAATAATATTAATATTTTGTATACACAAAAATCGAAGAATATTATTAACTCAATTTAATGTTTGTTGTATACAAGTAAAAATATTTTTAGTTTACTTATTATTTTTAATATGTTTAATTAATACACTAATATTGTGTAAGAAGTTATTTAATAATTAATAAAAAAAAAGGATTTCCCTAAGTATCTACATTTTAATGTATATCCATGAACTATTTTAATCTCCAAAATTCAACAAAAAATACAAAGTAGATTCTTTAATACATAATATACTATGCAAATACCAATTTAAAAATGTATTGAACTAAAAACTTGAAATTTACTAGTTAAATAATATTATTAGGTAGGTAATCACAAATTTTTATTTTAAAAAATATTATTCCTACTGGTATTGATGCAATTTTATAAATTGTTGTTAACTATTTTAACGTTTTAAGATTTTCAATCATTTACTGTTTGGTGCATAAATAGATATTGTGTAAAATATCAATATTTAGTTTATTTAATATAATTGTCACTACTAAATAAATTGAATTTAGTATAGATTACAATAATTTAATTAATGAAGTTTGAACAAATAACATCTTCAGTCTTTTTACGGTGGATTAACCTACTAGTTACTAGTATTATCTAATAAGGGAAAAATCTACAACAATTTTAATAAAATATGTTTTGAAATTTGTAAAATAAGAAAAATAAATCTTAGCCCATGTAAAAAAAATATTTGCGCCGCTCTGCCCCTCCTGAAAAAAATTCTAATGCCGTGCTTGTACACAGTACACACTAATTATCACGATAACAGCACTTGATAAAGGAGAATATCGAAATCATAATATGACAATAACGTAATATTATATTTAGAACTTTGCAATGTTACATTAGTTTTGATTATGAATTTTATATAATACGGTAAAAAATGCTAACTTTGATTTTGTTACATCATTTTCATAGTTTATAATCATGATTAGCTTGTTTATACAAATATTCAATAATTATATGATTATACGAAAAGAGCGAAGAAAAAAGTTAAGTTGACCAAACTTGAGATAGGACCGCATATTAACATATCACACATTCACACATTGCTACGGCCATTTACAATTAATATTCTGATGGTATATTAATATGCAGCAATACAATTCGACCTATGAATGATAATATTTATGATACTTACCCGTCTGAGTCAAAGAAAAGCATATTTGCCTGCATAATGCATTAAGTGCAATCTTCGAAATAGAATATCTATACAAGAGTTTAAGGTATTTAATTTTTCAATTACAATTGTTTATATTATGAGATTCATGATTAATTGTTACTTAAATGAACGGTAGCCGGTAGGGATAATTAGGTGTTTTAAAGATATAAATTGGAAATTAGTAGCTTTGTAAAATGATATAAATTAAATTTTTTAAACAATAAATCCAACATAAACCTACCATAACAATAAGACTATTAAGACTCGTGTTTTGCGGTACTAGAATAATCTGCTAGGTACCTAACGTAAAGAGTAATTTATAATTGATGAGTGTTAGGAGTGTTAGAACAGTTATACAATAAATTATAACCAATTTGTATTATATAATTTACATACAATATACATTATTTTCTAGGATTTATAACGTTTTAACTTTATCTAACTGATTATTCTATTACATACACAAACTGGATCTAAATTAATTTTTAGAAATCATATCTCCGTGTAACGTAAGTATATAACATACAAAAACTAATAAATTTATAATTTTTAGAATACACCGGAAGGAATGTCTTCGATTCTAAATTGGATTGATAAGACTTACAACCATCCAGAAATTTTTATTTCTGAAAATGGATATCCAGAACCAGAAGGATTAAATTTTTCTTCAAAGAAATTGGAATACCATCACGTATGTATAGTACAATAATATTTAAAATATGTAATATTGAATCCAGTAATTATTTTTTGTAAATAATTCAATTTTCAAAATATTTAGACTGAGTTTAAATTATTTATAAGTATTTGATATATTTAAATTTTTTTATTTTTTATTTCTTTTAAACTATATGTCTACTGTCTATATGATTATATGTGTATATAAATATATTTAATTAATCATAACTCATCATTAGTAACGTAAATAACAGATACATATAAATTAATTTAAAAAATATAATAAACAAACCTTTTATTATGTTATTCATTTCTGATAATAATGTTCACTATTATTTTTTAGGATCACCTAAACCACACACTTATTGCAATTAAAAATTACAATGTTAAGGTTATCGGATACTGTGTTTGGTCTTTAATGGATTCCATGGAATGGTTGAATGGTTACAGGTATTTTCTTTCACTTAAATAATAACACTGATAATCACTAAGCAATAACGATATCTAAAAAATATTGAATATTCTGTACTAGAGTATTGTAAATGATGTAAATAATATATATATTAGATGTTTATATTTTAAATCAATGATTAATATTTAAGGCATTTTTTTAGATTTCAGTTAAAACGCATGCGCCTACCATTTATTTAAAATCATACTGTTTAACAAATTCATTTTTCGGTTGTCGGTTGTTATTACTTACGCTTCAAAAAACTACATTAAAAAGTTAAAGTAATTTAAACTTAAAAAGTACTAGGTATATAGTCTACACTTAGAATTTTTGAAAATTCGAAAAATCACATTAAAAAATTATTATCTATTGTTCTATTGGAACATTTATTTAGACTTTCTACAAAATAAGAATATTAAAAACAGTCCATTTCTATTTTCTAAGAAGTTCGATATGAGCAACATAATGCATTATAATTAGTACTTGCATAAAAGTTGTAGTAAATTCTTAATAGTGTGCGTAGTGTGTATATTATAACTTCCGCACATACGTAAAAATATTACTATTGCATTATATATGTATATGTAATATGTATCGTCTAATGTCTAACATGTGAGAGAGCTCTCCTTTTTGTTAAATAATATATTTCATTTGTTCAATATTTGTTTTATTTATTACATAACATTCTGAAAATAGATTTGAATTCAACTTGTCACAAGAATAACATTTCTTTTTTTCTTTTCTATTTAGAAACATCTATTAAATTTCTAATTAGTTAATAAAATTAAATCTATAAAATGTACCAAATATTCAAATTTTCTTGAATTTATTTTGTAGTTGTAAATATTATTTTAAAAACATGATAATTAATATTTTAAAAATATGATAATTAATATTAAATTAAATTTGCTTACACTTATACGTTATCACATTCATGGCATTTAAAATTTGTACTTCATTAGGTTGAAATACGGAATTTACAAAGTCGACTTCGACAACGATGACAGACCACGTACAAACAAGTCATCAACCAAGTGGTTCAGCGAGGTATTCAAAAATGGAAAACTGGTTAAACCGTTCTTAACAAACGAAAATTGTTGTTAAAAAAAAATAATGCTGAAATAATATATGTACAACTCTAATTAAATAACTAATATACAATAAACGCTATTTTATTTATTCCTTATATATTACTCAAGTGATATAATTATTAAACTGCAGGTTCAAATGATTGAATGATCACATATGAGTATATGATATAAATTATGATCATAAATAAAAGTATAAAACAATTAAAATAGATCAAAAATTGAAATATTTTGTCATTAATATCAAAATTTTTCGAAATTTCAAAAATTAAAAATTATGTTTGCAGTTACAAATTCATAAAAAATGTTCAGTTTATGCTTAAAATATTAAGATTTTAATGCAATTTACTTTATACATTTAGCAACTTATATTAAAAAAAATTTCTACCAGAAAACCATACTAACTTTTTATGATTGTTTGAATTTAAAATATTATAACGATAACAGATATTCACCGTATAATAAATAATAATTATAATTAAAATAAACATAATTTTTATCAAAAAGATTAGATTTTAAATGTCATTGTGTGTATAAAACATAATCATTTACGTAAACATTTTTTATATTTCCATAAATAATTATGTTTTTGAATTATAAAAAAATAAGTACCATTTATTATAATTTTAACAAGTAATTTCATAAAAATTTAAACTTAAATGTCAATTTAAAAAAAAAAAATTGTGCCAATATTTTTTAGATGTTTTAATTTCAGTATGAAATACTTATTAGTAAAACTAGGATTTTGATGAATTTTCACTTTTCTTTATGTATTATACAGTTCTGACCAATCACTTAATTTTTTTCGTTATATAACAACTTAGAATGTGTAATTTTTATTTTTTATTTTTTTTTGTATTAAATGCATTTCATAATATTTTTAAGATCATTTTTACAAACATTACATTAATTTAAAAAATTTAAATTTTGGTCTCATTTTTGTTTATTTTAAGCTTTTTTTTTTAATATGTGCTGTATAGGTAATCCCAATTATCTACTTCATTCCATTGATATTGAAAAATATAATTAATTGTTAACTCAATAAATAAATATATTTGTTTAATATACATATTTCTTAAAATTTTTTTTACCTATTTTGTATTGTATAGACAATTAATAAATTGTAATTAATAATTAATAATAGTAATTATTTTAAAAATAATTTTTTTCGTTCATTTAAGTACATTTTTAGTTTATAGATAATTTTTGCATTTTTTTTTAGTGCATTTTTAAATCATTAAATCCTAGCTCTACTTATTAGTAACTTTACATTAAATTTACAACTGCAAAACAAGTTACAAATTTTTGTGATTTTTGTACTTACGTCAAATGCTTAAAAAATTAATTATGCTAATATATTTTTTACATTTGTATATAGCTATAGGAATAACTTATGTAAACTATATTTTAATCAATTTTCAAGTTTTATGACCTCACGAAAATATTTTTATCGGTATTTAGAAACATAAAACTAAAACAAATAAAAAATGTTAAATGTCTTTAAATAGGTAACCCTAAAAAATTAGAAATATTTTTATATTATGTAAATAAAATTATCTTATAATATTAAGCACTTGTTAAAAATTTTAGATTTACCTTAGATTTTTTTTTTAGATTATTTTGAAAAATACTAGGAATTTTTAATTTTGACCTCTTTAAAATAAGAACTATATACAATTTTCTATTCAAAATCATCCTCATAATTTAACCATTTTTCAACTATTTATAGTGTTTGCATACATTAAAATACATTATTGTAAAATCATTACATTCATCACTCCGCTCTGAACCTAAAATATATAAATAATTAATTTCATCATCTTTCTTTTTTGTTCAAATGTTAGTTTCTTTATCGGAAGATTTTGTACGATAGAAAACTTGAGTGTGCGTGTACCAACATTCATAAATGAATACCAATTAATAAAGTTCATATAATATTTTTTACGTACATTAAACTGTTCCTGAAAAAAACACGGTTCGTGGTTAATATTTTACTATTTTATATTTTCCCAAGTTAATACTATTTATATAAAAAAAAAAAACATTTTGTTTCTAAGCAATGTGTCGTTCTTTTGAAATATTTTTCTTTATATATTATTATTTAAGTTATTGGTAGGTACAAGCAGTGGCGCCAAACCCATACACGAACTGAAGCGATCGCTTCATATAATAAAAAGGGTGGGTGGTTTTATTTGTATATGTGTTTTTGTTTTTACATTGCAATATAATATATATACTAAATAATTAAATAAATAACTTAAGTTATTAGTTATTAGAGGTAGACAACATATTATTACCTAATCCATTTACCAAATTATTTTGATTTTGCTTCACTTAAATTAACATGACTCGGCATCACTAGGTACAAGTAAAATAACGATTATTTTGACTGGATATAGGTATCGTACACACCTATTGGTTATTATTATGAACAATTGAGGTAAAGCGGAGAAAAAATAATAATAAATTTGTATGATACACACACGACACACCGCGACCGTCGATTGAATAATAAATATTACGCGCTCCAGTAACAAGAACTCCGCAAACCGTGTGGTAGTGTTAACCGAGATAGTAGGCGTAGAATATTGTCGAGACACTTAAAAGCGCGTTATCTCAGTCGTTGTAAACGGTTTAGTTTGGGTATCACGTCCTCGTAAGAGTACTGACCACTTTTTGAACAATAAAAATGGATGTTATTCGTATGATGCTATACCTGCTCATGCTGTTTCTGCTATTTACAAACATACAACATAGCAATACGTTCAGTATAATCCACTATGTGTTGTTGGCTTTAATATTAGAATGAACTGACCTTTTATCATAAAAAAGAATGGTAAAAACATTACTAACGTTTAATCGTTGATATTTATCTCTCGATATGAACAATTTTAATTTGCAATAATCTAATTACTCTAATCTTGCTTAAAAATAAAAATACCAAACAAAATAACTAAAACCTAATCACTGACGTTTTTATTTTTAACTTGGATAATAGATCACTAATTCAATCAAATATTAAAGCCAATGACACATTTGGGTGTGGCGTATGTTTCAAGTAGTGTATAGTTAGATACATAGTATGGGGACTTAATGATTTGATTAAATATTTGGACTGGATTTTTAGGAAACGCAGTTTGTGTTGGCTGGCTTAGCTGAACCCAATAACTGAATTCTAAAGGCCCATATGAGTTTAAGTAGGATCTTATATGTTAAAATTTTATTTCTTGAGAAAAAAGAAAGTATCAAATTTTAAGAAGTATATTCAACAATAGATGATACCTTTAAAATGGAAAGTTGTTCGTCGTGGATCTGAGAAATCTTTGTCTAAGTGGCAGTCTAAGTAGATTTATTTATTCATAATTTTAATAAAAATACAAACGTAAGAATATTGGGCAACAAACGCTCCAAAAATTATAATAAATCAAAAATAAGAATACAATAATAAGAACATGGATAATACTCAATAATTAATTAATAAAAATAAATAATAATACACATAATACATGAATTTGGTAATACAAATTGAATACTTATTACACTTAGAAAAATACAAATATTTGTATACCTATTATATAAAATAATGTTTTATACAGATTTATTTATACCAAGTAAATACAAAATGATATTTCTAACATAATTTAAATAAAGGTTAAGTTGAAAATAATATAACTATTGCACACAATATATCATTCCTCTTAACTTTTGTATTTTTGGTCTTTTATGATAAAATAAATCTTTATTTTCTTTTACAATTTAAGTACAGACTATAACGAATACAAATATTGTTATATAATATTATTGTATTTGTTATAAATAGGTGTAGAAATTGTAAAATTAATTTGCACTTTAAGAAAAAAAATGAAGATACAACATTTTTATCAATACACGGAGTAACAAAATATTATTAATAAAATTTTAAAGCTATAAGCTGTATAGATATTAAAATTTCTATAATAAGTATTAATCAATATATTATTAATTTAGTTGTATACAAAATAATTTATACATGTTATTTGTATTAAAACATGTTTTAGACAAATGAATTTGTTAGTTATAATTAAATTTACAACTATAAAGATATGATATTATTACAATTATTATTAAGCGAATAAAATTAATGAAAATAATACATATACATAATATTGATATAATTTTTGCTATACTGTTATAAGGAACTTTACTAATAATAAATATTATCAACAACTATTTATGAAACATGTTAAGTTGATCAAGAAATAATATTTAAAAAATATTAATTTTACTTAGATAGTGCTATTTTATAAAATATTATGTTTATCTATAATAATGATAGTATAATAATTAAATAATTATATTAATTTATTGATTTTAACAAATATAATTAACAATATTATGTTTTAGTATTACTTATGTAAAAATTAATTTAAAATTTTTTTTAACAATGATTGTAATTTTGATATGATATTTGTGTGTGTATGTATAACTAGTTAAGTACTTCAGTATTAATTAATCAAATTAATAATTATTTGTATTGTGTAGGTATATAGCTTGAAAAATAAATTAAATTGTATTATTTTACAAATATATATTTGTACATTTAGTATGTATTTTTAAATAAACTAACATTCTTAAAATATATTTTATCTATATAGTATACTTATTTTTCAACAATGTTTGATTAAACAAATGTTAATTTGTTTAATTTTCTAGTTAATAAAAAAAATATTAGACTATATTATTAACATTCAATACAAAGAATAAAACATTAACAGTGATTACAAAAATAAAATTATTTGATAATTTTTATTAGTGTGATTGTATATCAATTGCTTTGGACATTAACATGAAATATTTATAATTCCAATAATAATAATAATAATAATAATGATAATACTAAGTAATAATGATGATCAACACAAAAATGACGTATACAGGAAGTAAACTTAACATTTAAAAACTATATATACATCTATACTCTCTTCCTCTCAAGAAACATACTCAACAACCTACTTGTATCCACCTCATGACATATGAGTTCTACATATGATTAAATTGGCGTGAGTAACAAATAGTTGTTACTTGTTACTTGATCATTTTTTGACAAAAATTAGTCGTCGCCAAGTATGTTTCTTAAATTTAACTGAATATATACCTATAATGGACGGATATTTGTTTGCAAACTTTACTTATTTGAAAATAATTATTTTAAATTGTAAGAAATAATATGAATTAATTTTACAAAAAACTATATGGATGGTAGATAACAAGCTTATTAAATAAACAAAATTGTTGAGTACATGTAAATTATAAAATAGCGTGTAATAATATCACAAAACCAGTCACTAAATATACATATATCGACAAAAATAAATAATTTTTTTTTTTTAAGAAATAATCATATTAGATCAGATTTAACAGATAAAAAAATATATTTACTAAAAGGAAATTTGTCTATTTTCAGTCTACATATTTTGTGTGATATTGGAATGTTAAGGTTAGAACCAGATTTTTTTTTGAGATCAGAAGAAAATGAAAAAAATTATGGAATAAGAGTATTCTAATAATGTTGTCAATAGAAATGCAATAATTTTGTATAATAAAATGGGTATTCATCTAGAAAAAATTAATTAAAATATTAAATTTTAAATTGTCAGCATAAACCAAATATTCACAAGGAAAATTTTTTTATATTATTTAGATAATGAAATATTTTAGGTAAAAGAACCCGAGTAGCATAATGTAGAATTAAATTAAGTGTTGATTGTGTAGTGTTAGTATTAATTTTTTGAAACTATTTTATAAAATATAAATACTAAACTACAACTATTAAACACTTGAAAACATGAAGTGGAAGACAAATGATCTAACATCAAAAATAGCACTAGTTATTTATAATTCAAATTTTTTGGAATGCTAATGTCCTACTAACTTAACAATAATACAGTATAAGCTCATTTCTTTTTTAGACACATAGTTAATGTCTTCAGAAAAAGTGACAAGTACCTTTTATGCCTATTGGTCTGTAGTACTAGTAGATTCATTAGCTACTTGTAAAGCTAAACCTGCAGTTAAATCTACCACTTCATCTTGATCATCTTCTTCAGAGGTATTAACAGTGGTAGCAGCGCTATGTGCTGATTGTTGTGATCCACTAGATAACTGTGATGTTCTTGATAAAGAACCTCGCCGAGGGGCTGACATTGTGGTTCGCTGATTAGCTGGTTTTACAGTAACAATCAGGTTATGACTATTGGCTACCATCATATCTGTTACCTATAAACAATTAATAAATGATTAATATTAATACTACTGGAGTATAATAGGAACCTCCTAATAGTTTTACAATATGTTTTTTATTTTAAAGAAAAAAATTAATAAGTTTTAAGCGGGATTTAATGGTTAATAATTTGATACAAATAATAATGGCGTTTTAAAACATTATTACTATATTTTCAATTAGTTTCTAAGACAAAAGCAAACAGAATCCTTAATATGTAAACAAGCAACCATTATTAAAATAGGCTTAAATTATGCTTAAATTATAATTTTTTTATTTTAAATTTATCTTTTAATTAATATTAAATATACCTGGTCTAAAGTTTTACCGACCACTTCAATACCATTTACTTCTAAAACCTCATCATTGACAGCTAAAAGTCCAGTACTTTCTGCCAACCCTCCTGGAACTAATCTGGAAATGAAAATACCAGGGACTTTTTCTACACCAGAAGGACTAACTCGCACACTTGTGCCATCTCTAATATAGAAACCTAATGGTCGTTCTGAACCATGTTTAAGTAGTCGAACTCGCCGACATGTGTCGGGAACTACGTCTACATCTATAATTGCGGACACCTAAAATCGAAATTATTAGATACAAATTTTAAAATATTTAACATAACAAATAATTTATTTTACTTGTCGAAAATCCTGAGGGTTTGATATCCAAAGATGTTTTGCTTTGCTAGGTGTACCACCCAAAATTGATGATATTATATTACGAGGCTTATATGTACCATATCCGTTCAATTCTTCAAGACTTTCACCTGAAATTACAATAAAATAATATTAGATTTAGATATAATTGATTTAATATAAATTAAATTATTTAAAAATGAGTATGGTCTGAGCAGTATATTGGACCATTGACAAACAGAATAATGGTTTTTGATAAATTTATACTTTGATTTATTAATTTACCTAATTTCTTGGTGGAATAACAACTTAAGGACTCTAAAACCTTTATTGTTTTTTACTCTATAACTAACTACCTCATTTTATTCCATATTGTTTGATATGTTTTGTCAATGAACATCATAGCTTAGACTTTTGAATAACTTTGAAACACTTATGTTGACTATAAACAATTTTTTACTTAGTTTCATAAAAATAAAAAATATCTCATGTAATGAAAACAACTTAAATTAAAAAATATTATTCTACTAAATATTTACTAACAGTAAGTATTTATATTATTATTATTATAAATAATAGATTAATAATTATATTACTTAGTACTTATATAGACAATACTATATAAGTACATATTTTTCAAACCACATTTATAATTCATATTTATATTTGTATACTTTTTTTTTCATTGAAAAATGAAATAATTTATATACATGTAGATAATACAAAATATAAATATTTATACTTTAAAAATGTAGCATTGATACTAAATGACTGTCTTCGAAGGCTAGGTTTGTTGTAGAGACAAAGGTTTTTATAGTATCTACTTAAACTAAACAATAAATATTTAAATTGATCACACATGGTTCTGTGATCATAAGCTTATTATGTAATTTTACAATTTTCAAGTATTTTAGAATTACAGAATGAAAGTTCAATACAATTGGAGTATGACTATAATATTATCTAAGCTAATAACTTATTTTTTTTACAAAATTTGAAGATTATAAATTAACTAACATCTATATTTTCATTCTATTGCCATCTTAATTTCAGTATTAATGGGGTTTTTCCAAATTCTGTTTTACATATGGAAGTTAAATACACATTCATTTATTTTGCTCTTTTATAATAGTCATGTTTAAATTTCAATTTTTGAATATTAAGAAAAAAAATATTCAACAATATAATGTTGTGTGTATAGGTAATTGTGTTAAATCTAATAAATTATATTTTTTATATAATAATATAGAGCTCATCCTGTAATGTTTTTTAAATGATATTTTAATTGAAGAATGCATAATGGTTCTAAGCAAATTAAGGTGTACACATTACAGCACCACCTCAACTATCAATACTATATGAATATATTGACTGACTCATAGCTATGAAAACTATTCTTATTGTAGTAGGTAAAAAAATGTTGCTAAAGGTTTTATTTATAAAATAATAATCTGATTTTTCCAATTGTATTAATATGATGTTGCCAATTAAGGTTATCGTCTATAGTAATACCTAGATATTTTCAATGATATTTTCTTTCTGAACTAAAGAAATAGAAGTGCAATTAAATTTACTGTCATTAATAGCAGTCATTGTATTTATAATATATTCATTACAATTTTTATGGTGTGCCTTAAGATAATTATTTTCAGTAAGTGGCAATTTATTTATGCTTAAGTTTATAAACCAAGGTTTGGTTAAATTAAATTCCAAGAGGTTATTATCAAACCATGATTATACAATGCTTAATACATAAGTAAAATTATAATGAATATGATTTTTATTTATGTCATTAATAATAATTAATTTGTAATCAGCTAAACAGAAAATCGATCTATTACAGTTTATTTTTAGTAAGTTATTGATATATACAATAAAAAGAAGTTTTTAGTTAGTTATTTGAAAAAAAGTAACACAAGTTTAAAAATATGCGTTATTCAAAAATATAACGCTAGCCACTAAAAATATGATTACGATTTGCAACCTCATAGTTTGAGAACCTCTACTATAGGTAATTAATAATCTGTATACTGAACATAGTCAATTACATTGAGTTAAGATAAATTAAAAAGATGGATACATAATTTTACATAACTTTTTTAGAAAATTATCTTAAATAAAGCTACACTCAGATCATTTTCATAAATCATATTATCATTTGAACTATAGAATAGATATGAAAGTCCATTATTGAATTTCAAAGCTATAATTGATATCAATGGTATGTTAAAAAAGCAAAGTAAGAATATTCCATATCTATTGTATTGTTATTATAAAGATACAAAATAATTTAAACTATTAAATTCATACTACTTTTACTATAACTCGCATTAAATATTTTTAATTGATAAAATATAATTGTCCATGTGTCATAATTCATAATAAATGTATTAGCAATTATGACAAATTAATTTGCAATTTTTATTTAAAATCTCATGTATTAATAAGTTATTAACAAAAAAATGTTCAATAATAAAAAATAAACAATATAATCTATTAGTCAATTATAAGTAACTGAAAATTATATTCTAAGCATGATGTTATAACACATACATTTCTACTTATATATATATTTGACAGTTAGGCATTTAGATTAGTTAGAGGAACAATGAAAAAATTGGTATTTATAGATTTTAAAAAAGTATGAGTAAAAATGCAGACAAATATACATTTTTAACATTTTAGATCCTGAGAGTGAGTGCTACACTCACAATGTTCAATTGTATTAATTTTACAATGATATATGTTGAACTATTTTAGTTATTTTGTTGTATTTCAAAAAATATTAATTATAGGGACTTGCAAAATTTTGCTAAATACATATGTTATTTACTAGACACAATGACATTTTAAACTATTTATACTAAATGTATTCAAACCGTCATACACTGTGTTAGTATTAACTTATAGGTTAATAAAACAACAGCTAGTAATATTATAATTATTGTAATATAGGTAATCTATACGTTTTTTTAGGTGAAAATTAGTTCAATCTACTTTATAACTAATAAAAACAAAAATAACTAATTGCAATGTAAATGTATATAAATATAATTATCCTTCGAAAAATATAGTGACAAAATCTTTACTCAGTCATTTTTTTATCGAGTGCAAACGTGCAGTGATTACTTATTGACATCAAATTTAATACATTTTTTATAGTAATAAGTGTAGTTACCGCAAGGAAAACAGTGGCAGTTGCGTCGGGGCGTATACATTTTTTTAATTTTTAAGGTGTTTTACAGCACTATTTTAGTGATTAAGAGTATAATTTCTATCATTTTGTGGGCGAAAAAAAATTTAGATTCGGGGCATTTTTACACACCTTTGGGTTATAGTGACCTACCTATTCAATAATTGCCAACAAAAATAATGCATCTATATCATATATATGATCATAATCTGAAATAGTTTTACAAGGTTTAGGATCAAACAAAATAACGTGAAATAAAACTTTTAAATAAAGACAGCCGTTACTAAAATGTGTGCCACGCTACCGTAGAATTTTATACCCATGGTCTACAAATAAATTTTAAACCCTACAATAGCTGCGACGGAATCGATTACGATTATGTTAATGATACTCGATCTGGTGAAATCCATTATCGTAATAGTATAATCATTTTTTTCTAGTTTTATTGGTTTTTTTTTTAATTTATTATAATTAGCCATGACTTGGGGAAGGGCACCCATGGAAAACAACAAAGGGCTTTGTAATCTAAAAAAGTTTGGGAATTGCTCAATAAAGATATGGAAATAAATATTATTATTATTGTATATTATTGATTTAAATAATGTGAAAATATTCAGTTCAGTTAATAAATTTAACCTGAGATTTTATTCGAAATTTTTCTGTGTACAGTATCATCTTTAATAATTTTATTTTCTCCGTGTATATACTTGATTATTAAAATTGTATTGTTTTAATTATATCAAATTAAAGAACCTAATAAATATCATATTAAACACAGATTAATATAATTAATTAACAGAACGTTATATTTATTTTCAGAACTACAAATATTATTAATAATAACTTAAATGCAATAGCCCAAATCTTGAGACAGACTTCAATCCCTCGTTCCATATAATTTTAGTTAATTTTATTTATAGATTAAAACCCAATTACATGAAATTATTAACTTTGTAGATAGAAAATATGAATATAAAATAATTACTAAATTTGAATTTAACGAGACATAGCATTTAGCTATATTATGTAAACATAACCTCTTGTAATCTTATACAAAAATTAAGAAATTCAAACATATTTAAAAAATATATTTATATATTCCATATCTCCTAGTCAGAAAAAAAAAGAATAATTCTTACAATAAAACAAAATTTTAATAAAATTGAATACTAATAATAATTTTTACATATATTATAATATATTCTTCAGTTGATTTATAACAACTTTACTATATATGTGATTTAAATTTACATAAAATACTATAAAAATATCAACGAATAAGCTATATTAGCAATATACTAATCGAAAAAATAAAATAATAATCATTGGTCATTAATTTTTGTATCAAAAATATGGGTACCTATTTAAATACGCTGTAGTCACGAGATCAGCATAACATGACTACTGAAAATTAATAACTAATTAGTTAAGTGTAAAAAAAAAATTAGTTATATACTCCTTTTACAATACATTTACATACATAAAATATCATTAGGACGACCTAAGCTGAGATGGGAATATCAAATAATAATAAACTTGAAGCATGTAGATGTAGAACCAGATACAGATGACCAAGTATTGAGATAGTGATGGAGGGAAATTTTTGTCAATATGGTTTTAAAGACTAATAACTACCAAGAAGAAGAAAATGCATTATTCGTACCATGTTATCGTATCAGTTATGAAGTTGTCAGTAAATATACGAAAGATAAATACAAAGGACAAAACAGTAGTTATTGGAATATATGTATCGCGAAATATTATTTTATATTTTTATCTAGGTATACACGGTATATAGTGTATATGTTTTACATTTATATTAAATTATAAAATACGACTACTAAATTTATTACAGACACTTAATCTAATACAGGACACGTGTAATGGACAATGTTCAATGAGAATATGAGATGAATATACAAAATAAAACGTCAGTCTAAAACTGGTGTGAGTTAACTTTTGGCGTGTTATAGAATATAAAATCACGTTTGATGTAGCAATATAATAAAATGACAAAAAAAAAAAGATCTTAAATTTAAAAATTGATTTCAGCTCCTGCCGTCACATCCTTGTAAAATTAGTAAGAAAGAAGACAGAAATTATGAGATGCCTTACAATAGGCTTATATCGGTGTTGGTACTAGGCGTGTTTTAAGATATGAGTACATGACTCACTGAGGGGATCATCACGGTTCCACGGTTCATTATCGCTAGATGGCTAGACATTTACTGTTGGCTATGGCTGCATAGAACACTAACCATACTTAATGGCAAGTTCCGTTTGCGTTTCTCAACGGTCAATATTTCCGATGCACTGCTTATGGGGAAAAAAATAAATACATTCTACCAAATCTAATGACTTTAGGAAACAAAACCTGTTTTCGTGGGAAATTCTCTTGGATCTGAACAGTTAAATGTTGGTTTTTCTTTTATTCCTAACTACTACCCATAGTTCCACATCAATTAAAATTCTTCACAGACAGCTAAATAATTAAAGAGCATTGCTATATCAAACACTGCTGTCGGCGCCTTGAATAGAAACACGAATAAAATAAATTTTTTACATTTTGAAGTTTTTATCAACTATTGGTGATACAAACCATGAATAATGTTATTTAAAAGAAATATGATTATAAAAATTGATATAGATAATCAAGTTATTAAACAAACTATACATTAATAATCAAAATTTATATGGTATAATGTATTTAGCTGATAACTATTTTAGTATAACTTCTAGCTCAAATAATTATAAATAAAACTAAAAAATATAAAAATTGTCTTTAGTGTTTACACAATCTAATATAATTTATCATAAAATAGTAATACAATACCTACATATATAGATTATGAGCACAATCAAAATAATTGTTAGTATTCATAAAAAAAAAAAAAAACCATCATTTTTTATTCAGATGCCAAACCCACACATTTGTTTGAATTCATAAGAAACAGCTTAGTAGAGACAAATTTGTGTATAATATAGTATATAAGGTATAATATAAAATTACTATTCAATATCCACCTCAGATAACTTAAGACTGATAAAAATGCAAATGACACACTATTTTCACTTAACAACTTTTTTCTAGATGTGGTTTAAACCATAAAAGGAATAATACAATATACTGATGGTTACAAATAATAAAATAAAATATCACAATTCAAAATTTAGAAAGTTATTTTCAATGAAATAAAGTTTCTTTTATGGTTAATGATAAAAATATCAAATTAATTTAATATATTCATATAAAATACATACTTAACAAACCTAAAATTAAACTATATATAGGTTTTAACAATTAAATACATATATTAAGTCAGAACATTGATAATTAGCTATATTAACATTTTAAGGAGAAGGTACATTTTATTAAAGTGTTTTTAATTTTATAGATAAGTAACTGGCCAATGAGAATATATTGGTTATACAATGATGTGTTTATTTTTGTTTGGCATCATTTTTAAAGTAAAAAAAATGTTTCAATTTTTAACGTCTAAGATAGTTTATGGTAGAAAATTGGATATAAAGTATTGTGATGAATTAAAAGTAAAAAATTTCTAGTACTGTTGCAAAATAAATGTAAAAAAAAGTAATTTTTAACTCAAAACTAGTTATTAACAAAATAATATTTATTCGTTTTAAGTTATAAATAAATAACCATAGATTTGAAGTTTTCATTTAAAATTAGAATTTTTCTGATATGATACAATTTTAAAATATTTAAAAAATTTTAATTTTTTTTAGCTATTTAGTCTTATTTCAATTTATATTGATAGTAATTTTGTTTACAGTTAATAAGCTTGAAAATAAAAACAAAGGTTACTTCCTAATAATAAAGTATTAGAAGTTCAAAATTAGATAAAATTAATCTAAATCATAATTATTTTATAGATAAAATTAAAAAAACTTTTGATTTAAATACTTTAAGCTTGAAAATTGAATATAAAATTGTCTATTAAGGTATTTTAACAAGAATTAAAAAAATATATATAATATATAAACCACATTACTTGTCATAAATGTTTTGGTTTTAATCAGGTTAAGAGTTATTACCAATAAATGTATATTATAAATTGGCAATCTATATAATCCTATAAAATATAATTAAATTTGCCTTTATTCTAAGTAAAAACCTTAATACAACCTATATACTCAATATATTATATTACAAGCTAAATGAAAAATATTGTGTAACACTCATTGTGTTCGCATTTTTTACTAGAAATTAACAAGAACTCCGCCCCAACACCTGCCAACTTATTTTAATGGTTCTCAGAACAATGAACCACTTGCTTATGAATTATTATTTATCTTAAGACAATGGAGATTAAAAAAAAAACATGTATATAACCATACGGGTATCATTTAGATGAAATGTTTTGGTTATTGAAATACAATACTCCCGAGTAAATAGATTATAAAAAATTATTTTTTTATTTTTTAACCATGAGCTATAATAAAAATTGTTCTATAATATAACATACACATATTCAAATTTAGTAATTATTAATACCAATTTTAAATTATAAAATATCCAATAATTATGGAAAAAATAATAAAAAAAAATAACCACTAATTAGGTAATTTTTATTTATTATAATTAAACAAAATTAAATTTTAATCTGAAATTTTTTCTAAGATGTCATATAAAATAGAAATAGAGATTACAAATAAATGAAGTTTTTCAAGTAAATTAATTATATATAACATATTGTAACTATTGTAAACCTAATAAAAGTATTTTGAAATGTTTAATTCAGAAACAAATCAAAATTTCAACTAAATTTTCTTAACTATAAACATTTCTCTAATAATTTTATTTTGAGTAGATATAAATTGTTAATTTTATGTTTCTTGATTAAAATAAATAAAGAAAACGGTTCTAAAACTAAATATGGAACATCAGTTTTAATGTGTATAATAAATTAATTTATAGTAAATCATAATATATGGTCAATATTTATACATCAAAGGCTATAGAAAAAATGAAAACTTAAAATTTTTTTTAGCTATAAGTATTGAAATAATAGATTTCATTACTTCATTAGATTTTTTGTAACGGAAGGAAATATAGGTAAAGTAATAGAACAATAAATAACTAAGGAATTTAAAGATAAAATATTTGATAATGGTTATTTTAGAAAAATTTAATTAAATAGTGCAGTGAATATAAGTAGCAAATATAATGACTTAGTAAATGATAAAAGAAAACCAAATATATTAATTATATGTTACATAGTTTGAATTTGGTAGTAATTAATTTTTTGAGATGTTAAAAATACTTCTTTTTTTTTTTTAATTGTATACTTTGAATGACAAATTGAAAAAAAACAACTAAAAAATTTCTGAATAACCACTGAGGCTGTGCACTTTAGCCTACTAGATGGTTTATCTAGAATTGATTGTATAATATCACTCAATCATATTTACCCAGATATTGTGAAAGTTTTAAACATGACTTTAACTGATCATAATATAGATAAATATGATTCAACACTCAATAAATATTTTTAAAGCAATCAAACAATTAGTATAATACTTTATTGATGAATAATATTCATCAATTTCATCAATAATTAATTTAATATCTTTATAACTAAAATTATCAAAGGGTAATATTAGAGATGCTGTTAATTTAATGAAAACCACATTGAAAAATATTGAGAAAGTCCATAACTTTGATATTTTGATAATGAAGTTAATTCTAAACATTACAATAGAATATGATGCCATCAATTTTATGTAAACAAATAAGTAAGACAAGTAAAAAAGTTTAAGAATAATCAATGCCAGGATCAAATATCTTCCAAAGAGAAATTATTATTTTGTAATGTATATTTTTTGATGTGTTGACACTGTTGTCACACAATTGACAAGACTTCTTAGTATAATATCAAATAGCAAGACAAGTACAAAAGTAAAACAGTTGGCTGATGAATTTTAGATCTAGCAACATTTGTCAGAAAAATTAAAACTTTTAACAATTTGTTTGTTTTCGGGCTTAATATTTCTCACAGTGTTTTTGATATGACTAAATTATTAATAATTGAAAATAATAATTTAATTACTAGTTTCTCCGATTTATCAACAAAATTTTACTTATATCCTTACAATAAAAGTATCTATAGGTAGCAGAAAGAGCAGTTTTAAAACTAACCAAAATTTATTTCAGAAACACTATCCCAAATATAGATCTAGAAAAATTGTTAGAATTTTATTAAATAGTGAGTCTATAAGTTAGCATGGTTTGTAATCATTTACATAAAATATGAGTAGCAAAAAAATTATTTTAATTTTCATTTTTAGTTCAATAAATTATTATTATGTATTTTGTCCCATGTATACAAATTAACAAACTTATATTTAATAAGTTAGATTAAAGATCTTAATCTCCATATCTACAGTAAAATTTTAATCACAAAAATCATGAAAGATTTTTTCATTAGTATAATCTTAGTTATCTAATACAATTACTTTTAATGATACAATATACAGGATGTAATATTAAAAATATTAAGTTGTAGTAGGCACACAATGTTTTAAATTTTTTAACAAAATCTTACCTTTACGTTGTACGATTATCCTTAATAATGGCTTGGCTGTTAAAACCGCTCGCCCTAGATTATCGTCATTGTTGATTGGTAATAGATCTCCATCTTTCGGGTCCGTATATGACAATACAAATGGCACCTCAATTAACTTGTGCAGACGTTCAATAAGAATTCTAAATTGTTCATAAGTACCAACATCTGTTTTCGGTAAGGAGATGCGACGGAACTCGGCGTCAAACTATAAAATAACATATAGCTGTGTAGCAATTGTAAACTAACTGATCATTCCCGGTACCACATACTTTGCTTTTGATTTCCAACTTTGCCATAATTGGAAAATCTCGTTCCTCTGAATGTCAACTGTTAAGTGATGGTGTCATAATATCACCTCTCCCTCATCGGCCGTTGGAAACAGCTCAGAGGTTTAAATACACCTGTTGCACAATGTCATTACTTGTCTACTTTGGGTCGTAAAAAAAAAAAAAAGGCGTACTAAATAACACTCGTAGGGACACTATCAGTGGTATAAAGCAGTTACCACTACTTACTAGGAAGTAAGCAAAAGCACTGTCTACTGTCTAGATAAATTGCGGCGGACTCAACTAGAATTGATGAAGGAAATAAAAACACGTAATTCCATAAAACGCTGTGTCTAGACGGTAACACGGAGTGGAATGATAACAGCCGATCTAACAGTGCGTCTACAGGAGAAGACGTTTAACTCCCGTCGGTTATCATTTCGTTCGGTTCGTCTTATCACTGAGTATACTAGATAATATTCTAAAAATTTAAGTCTGAAAATACTACTTAGTACTAGCAACCGTGCCTGCCGCCTGGTAAAGTAGTAAAACGTTTTTACTAAATAACAACTGCCCTGCGGTAGTTAGGTTTCATCATTCTTAGTAAAAAAAGTACACAGTTAATTTTTTTTAAACAATTGTGCTAAAATGTCTGTCAAATTAATTGGCAGGACTACAAATTTGTATGGAAAGACACTATGGGAAATTTTAGGCAATCTGAGAACTATGGGTATTGGTCGTCTAGTGACTAGGAACTCTTATGATAGATATGAAGAACCTAGCTTCTTTAAAGTATTGTCCGTCGAACCTACCGCACAAATAGTGAGTAATCATCACAACATTTAATTGTAAATCACTTAACATGCACTTTGATACAGGAAGACAAACCAAGGAAAGTAATAATTCACGCTGAGAAGATATTCAGAGGTAAACGTTACAAAGAACCAGTTGAAATTTATAGTGTTTCGTACAAACCTGATTATCGTTTAATACCCAAAGATGAGGAACAGTTATGGTGGGATCGATTGGCTAATTGCAAACCTCGAGAGAAATTTGTACCTGGATCTATAGAGTTGCCACCACTCATGAGAGTTAGTATTGATTCATTACTACTTATGTATACCATTTGAATTAACAAGATTTTACATTTTGTTTTATAGTTGGTATTAGAACGAGACAACAAAGATTCTAATATTAAATTACCATTAAAAATACGAAGTGGTCGAGATAATATTGCTCATACAGATGAAACAAAAACTGCATCATACAGCCCAAGTTTTTTTAAATATCAACAGAGTAGTTAATAATTAATATGCATTGTATTTATAATTATACACAATTTTTTTTTCATAAATATTAGAAGGATTTGTTTTTAATTTCTTCGTATTTATTTCTAATACCTATTAATTTAACAACATACAATATTATGTTAATAATTCTAGTTTTTAATTTTCAATTTTTGATGTGTGGAACTCTAGGGTCATCTGGTCGATAAACTGAAAAATAAAACAAAAATAAATAATTAATAGCATACATTGAATATAGCTTAACTAAAATGGGAATTTCTTTTTTAATGACATTTTATCATATCATAATGATTAATTAATAAAAAAAATAATATTCACGGTTATCTACAGTAAACACCTTTAGTAATATTACAGAACACTTAAGTTTAATTAAAAAATAAATTATAACTACACATAAAATTAATTTTTAGATCCAATTTTTAAATCTATTAAATAGTTCTACAGATTTTAAATTAGGAATGAAATCCTAACATTTGAAAATGCATATCAGTAGAAATATAAAAAGAAAGAACATTCAGGTTATTTACTTGAGGAGAAAGAAGAACAAATGATCAATGTGTAACTTAGAGAACATCAGACATTGTCAATCTGCAGAATGTATATAGAAAAGCTATTATAAGTCTATAGAAATGGTTAAAGATATAGGTGCACTAGTCTACTAAAATGTAGTGCTAAAACTGTTAATGTCTCACAGAGCCATTGTATTTCAATACAACAATAATAGAATAGTTGGGGATAAAAAAATAAGGGGTACTGAATTTGAACCAAGGGGAGCTAAAGACCCTTTTTCACATCTCTAGTTGCGCCTTTGGTTAAGGACACAATTAATAATTATATAAAAATAAGTTAAACTTATCGGGTACAACATTAAGCATACAGAATAGTATATATTATACGTACGAGTATACTTCAATTTATATTTCTTGTTATTTCCGTCATTCTGTTCATATCTATAAGTATGATACATAATCAACCCTAAGCCGACAATGCAGAATGGAGAGCAAATTGTAATCAATGGTATTTCATGCATAGCTTGTCGCAAAATGCCCTTCACTATATAAACAAAAAAAATAAATAAATAGTTAATATTGGATATTAGTTATTAGCTTAAAAACATACGTCCACGTCCATATTTTTCTGGATTGAGAATTGTTTCAGTTTTCATTTTGGTGTTTCAAAGTAAAAATTAAAGTTATTAATCAAAAATAATTATGAAATTATAAAAATTTTCTCAAATTAATTCTTATCAAATTACTTCTGTGAAAATATGAAGCATGAAGTTGGTAACAACCTTGTGATATGCACTTCTGCACTAAGGCCACATAATCGTCAATCGATGCATAAAATCATGAACAACGAATTTTGATATGGATGACCTAAGCACACAGCTGCTGCTGCTGCTATTACTGCCTATTCTCTGCTTGCAATCGGCTTGTATTAGTATTGGTCCCGCCTCCTATCTCGTTTAACTAATCACTTGCCACTACATAATGAAACACAATATCTGTATATAAAGTTGGAAAATGTTATAAAAAAATAAATAAATAGAAATCCCAGATTTATTTATAAATAGTTATATACTAATATAGGTAGAGCCGTGGGTCTAAGATAGACATTAAAATTATATTTTTAACTGGTGTTTGGAATATTTGGAGACTTAATAAATAATGAGACGTAAAAAACTAAAAATAAATCTATTATTTTCATAACCACTGTTTTAATTATTTTTTTTTATTTAAATCATAATTCATGGATAAATTCAATGGGATAGTAAGGACAATTCAGTAAAATTGGATTATATCTAGTTAAAAAACTAAACCAAAGATACACTAGATTGAAATTACTATGCCCCTTATTAAACCATAGCTTAACCCTATAAATTAAAATATTCTCTTAATTAACGTAATTTGTTATTATTGTTTACTTAAAATATATTTACTATATTGTCGATTACTTATCGAAAAAAAATAGCATAAGCTATTCTAATAATGATTATTAATTTAACTATAACGAGAAAAGGCACGTATGTGAGTGTAAAAGTTTGAAGAGTGTCACCCTCGCCTAATGAAATCAATAACAATCAATGTCTTGATAGTTAAATTATATCATAATATATGAATCACAGTATGATAGCAGATAGGTACATGGTTTAACTTTATCAAGCAGATATGACAATTTGCTACTTGATCCCTAGACGTCTTTAACAGAGATACGCTTCTTCAGGAATAGTATAACCACTTTGACATTGTGAACGTAATTTAAAAACAGTTCGGGCTTAGGTGCGAAATTACTCCTGTAAAGAATGCATATAATTAAAAAAAAAAAAATTTTAACAAAAGTTTTATGTTTTATAAATTATAAGTTTGCTTTTTTTTAAATAAAAATGTCATCAAGTTCCTTGAGTTCCATTACATAATGGAATAGGTGTTATTGTTATATCTATAGGTGGCTAAGTTTTTTGATAAACTTTTTGTAGTTATTGAGAAATAGATGGCTACTGGCTAATGACGCAACAAATTATTAAATTAACTAGTTAGTGTAAAGATTCTGCTCTTCTTATTGTTGTCATTTTAATGGTAAACAATGGGAACATTTTAGTACCTATAGATAATACCATTGATTCTATAATAATCAATAATACCTATACCTATGCTAAGAAACCTTTATAGCTCATTGGAATGAAATTATATTTATGTCGGTACCTAAATAGTCATTATTCTATAAAATGTCAATTTATATGAACTATAAATATAAATACCTAACAAATAACAATTATATTATAATAAAAAAAAAATACATGATGAATGCAAATATTTAATGTGAAACTGTACAAAATTAATAACACAAATATAATATAAATTATATATTCTATAAATGTTTAAAATAATAAATAATTAAATTACATATTTACATTTAAAATAGGATGCAATATTCATAAAATACATAAACTATTCATTGAATTTATATTAAAGTTTTGGCTTTAATTATGCTCTCATAATACTCTAATGGTAGTCCCATATTCTTTAAGTCTTCTAGAGATGATTTTAACATTTTATTTTTGAAATAGTATAACATAGCATCCCAACACATAGCTTTCAATTTTGGGATTCTAACCCATGCACACAGTATGTCATCTTTTTGATACATATCAATTGCTTCAGTACTGACTATTCCATTATAATAGTAGATGCGACCTGAAGGTACAATCGTAGATGAATGCAGAAACATGGATTTGGGTAGTTTACATGGCATAAGATTACACCACTGAAGAGTGATAAGATTTAGACGCCAAATATCTGAGAAAAAGTTAAAGTTATCAGAACCACCACTCATATATACATATTCTGGTTGGGTTGCACATTGTGCCCATCCATAATAACAGCGATTTGCAGGATAAGATGATGATGAATTCTGGAGATCAGGTAAAGTTTTAAAATAGTCCCATTTATTAGTTGATATGTCAAATACTTGTATTTCCTTGAAAAATAAAATATTTAAAAAATAATATAAAAACCCAAATATCATAAATTTATAAAAAATAAATAAATAATTATCTAAATTTAACACGTATTACTTAGGTATTGGTTTATTATTACAAAACCTGGGAGTGTGATAGTGTTTTTGTTCCCACATCCATAATATGATTCATATGTTGGGTAATGGGTATAAATCATAGACCTTATACTACCTTAGTATAAGGTCTATGGTATAAATGTATAATACTTGACAAATTTAATCTAAGGCTAATTTCATATGAACTTAATAATTTTTGGATAGTAAAAATGTAATTTTCATGCAGTTGACTGAGAAGATAACTAACCAATACCATTACTTTTTTAGAGTAACATTTATAAAGATTAAATTGGTAGCAAATTCTATAGCTACATTTTCAGAAATTTGATAAACGCCTAAAACAATTATGGATATAACATACAATTATTTTAATTACTATATATTTTAAGATATTTTTTACTATGTTTTACATCAAAAACTTTAAATAAAATATATCTATACAAGAAAAACAATTTTAGACGACTAGTTTTAGATCTCATGAAGTATAAATTATATATGTTTCAGGATTAAATAGGTTGTTTCTGAACAGGCTTCCTACAATTATAATCATAAACATATTGTATCTTTTTAAACTAAAATGGTTTTTAATTTTAATATAAAATAATTCAGAATTTATTATAATATATTATATGAAAACTTATGTATAGATGATACGTTTTGATTTAACTGACAATAAGTTTATCACTGCAAATAACAACGTTTGGAAATACATTTTTGTCAGAACCAATAGAAGATAATAAGTTTTTAAAATTTATTTTCAGCTAAAATTAATGCAATTTTTTTATGACAAAACTATCAATATTAATTTTGGCCATTTTTGAAATATTTGAAATAGGTTATTCAAGAAACAACTTACTTCAAATGTGTCTAGAAACATATTTTTAAGTAGAATCATCACATGAGCACCACCAAACATATACAAATGATTGTCATAATAGGCCACTTCACGTCTAAGACTTTCATCAGTTTTTGGGTATTGACCACGAGCTTGACATAATAACTGCCATTTTTTAGAACATAAATCAAGCCTATAAACATCCATTTCATTTTGATATTCAGATGTTCCATTAAGAAAATATACAAATTGTCCGTCTATAAGAACTGGTTGACCATACTCAGTAATGGGTATACCATTTGTAGAACAAATCTCTTCAAATTCTACACAGTCATATTGATTTTTCTTTGTCAAATTTCCTGAGTACAAAATATTACCAAATGAAACATAAATCAATAATTAAAACTAAAATATTAAAATTTAAAATGTTAATTAATAAATAAGTTATAAATACCGATAAAAATTTGAAAAGTGTATTTATTAATGTACTCAAAGTCTTTTCCACCATGTATAATAATTAAATTACCAGACAACAAAATTGAAGTTAACTTAAAATAAGTTGGCAAATTCTTGCATTTTATTTTTTCCCAACGATCAGCAATAAAATTGTATCTTATCAAAGTTTCATTAACAAGTTCCTAAAATGTAAGAAAAAATTGTTCATTTATTATATAGAAGAAGTAGATAATCTTAAGATTTAAATTAAATAAAAACCTCAGACTTATTCTCTGCAGAATGTTTTCGATATCGATTGTATTTGAACAAGTAGTCATCATTACATGCAATCCCCTGATCAATTACACAAAGAGGACGGTTCCATTCTGGCGGGTTCTTAGGGTGTATATCAAACACTAAATGCTTGAATTTGTATTCCATTGATGTCACCGTGATATGATCTATAAAGTCTCTATAGAATAATCATGAAAGAGATATATTAAATGTAGAACAGACTAAAATGCACATAAACATTATCATTACTAATTCATTACTGATCACTGATCAGTAAATGTTGTTTTTTATTTATATTTAACAATTTAGATCCCGCTTTGATGTAAACACATTTTGAGACCATAAAATAAATAAAACTCATAATTAACAATTATTACAGGCAACTATTTTGTAAACATTTTTATTGAATATAGTACAAATATAAATATGGTATTAATACTTAAAAGGTTAAAAAAATATTTACAAGTTAAATAAAAAAGCCTAAGTAATAAAGATTTTTTTTTCTTTATTAATATATACACAATAGGCACAATTAGAGTATGAGCTAATGACAAAGAAGAATGAAATCTAGAGTAATAAATATGGCAATAATTTCAGTTTAACCACCTAAATCAGCTTAGATGTTTACCCCGATATTAATTGTACCCTTATTAATACCATGATACGTAACCATTTATATTTAAAAACATCTTTACAAAGTAATAAGTATGACAATTAAGTGAATATGTGTGACTGAATAATATAGAATAATAAGAGGCTCAGACCTCTGACATCAGTTATTATCTAATATAATAAGGTAATTTTTTCCGTAAGAGCTAAGTGTTATACCATTATTTTAAATTATGCCTCTAGTATATTATAATCAATAATATACTGAAAATAGAATTTGAAATAATAATAGAGATCGCTTAAAAACAATTTTTCTCCTTAAATAATACATCCATTCATTTTTGAAATACTTAAATATATTTAAAAAATATTTTATTTTAAAATTCTTAAGATTTTTTTACTACTAAAGGAGTGTTCTATGAAGATAGAACTTCTGTTTATAAAACAGAAACCTCCTTATTTTGCTATGAATTATTTAGTTGATGTTTTTGAAAGCGCTAACGTATTAAGAATTAAAAAGTAGTTCCTCAGTTGATAAAATGTTTATAGTAGGATAAAATCCTTAAAAATGGTTTTACAAAAATATAAAATTGATGTGATATTGGTTGGATCTAGTATTTATTTACTTGGGTATTTTCAATAAATTATGAATATTAATGGTTAATTATTAATTACTACATCTTCAAATCTGTGTAACCCTAATATCTTTCAAATCTATTATCATGGAACTATTAACCATAGTATACATAGTTAAATTACTCAAAAACAAATAGTTTTGATTTTGATACCTCAATATTTTCAAGAGATTTACAGTTGAAATTTTGAAGTAAGATTCTCATTTAAAAAATAGAAGGTTCTATTTCTGCAGAACACACCTTAAGTAGTATGAAAAATTCTTAGTCATTTTCAAACATGACTTTTAAGTAGGTATGTTTAAAAATTCCAAAAATCAGATTTTGAATAACTGCATTGTTGAAGAAAAATGAAGGTGGTATGCTTAGTGATTTCTCTATCATAAGTACTAGGTATTACGTATTAATTAACTTGTATTTTTTACTAGATGAATCTCACTCGACATCATATTATCATCCCTCACAAAAAGGCGAGGGTGCGTCTGACATATTGTGTAACAATTGTCACAGACAACTGTATCATTTAATTCATAGAATAAATATAAATAATAACAGTAATAACTATCCAGCTAGTAAATCTGAATACATCACCATAAAGGTACAAAAAATAATGCTACTAGTCTATGCGAAAATAATTATACCTAGTGAATATTAACAGAACGGGAAAGTGTGTTGAAGACGATCCTTACTAGATGTATTTAACAAGTTGTGATATCATGTATTTGGTAAAATGAATTATTGGAATTTGACTATGAGCATATTTTTCGATATCCGATTAACCATCGAAGAAAATATCCTGAATCCTGATTAAAGATCTGAAGAATGTGTCAGTCGATGACCGGATGAGTGACGGAGTAATAGTTGATGACCCATGACTAAATAAATGGTTTAGTCATGTGATGACACAAGCAGAACTGATTCCAAAATCCGCCGACCGCGATACTCCACAATTCACTGAATCTAGCGTTCACTATTCACATTGGTGAATTTTCACTAAACTGCAACAGCTGGAAATAGGAATACGAATATATCACATTATCACTCAACAGTTAACAATGATAATAATCAGGGCTCGTAAGTTCATGCACTAAAAAATTTATAAATAAGCATGCAATAACGCACTAAAATATTGAAAATATGCATTAAAAAGTTCAGTAATATGCATTTATATGCACTAAAAATTTAAAAATATGCATTTAAAATTTTAAAGTATGCACAAAAAAATTAAAATACATCTATATATTATCTATCAAAATCGATTAGGTTAATATACATTCATATTTTTAAAAGTTATGGGTACCTAAAGTTATTTTTTCAATTTTATATAATTTATTTATAAAAATTATTTTTAGCTTAAAAAGTTATAAATTACATTATATTATTAGCGATTTTTTAATTAATCTAAAATAAATTGATGTAGATCCGCACGCGTGTGATTAGAAGGAAAGTGGTAACGCATTAACGCAATAACATTATTTCCGTGGTACTACGTGAAACATATAGGAACTCAGTGTCATACAAAATAAAAATAAACTGAAAAATACCAAAATTTTGTAAGCATACTAAGCATGTTCGGGAAAGCATACTATAATAGAAAGAATTTTAGCATTTATCGGTACAACATTTTTATTACCTAATACCCTTCACAAAAAACAATTATCTTAAATTTACTTGAAATAATATGCGCTAATAACCCCAAAAAATTAACAATATGCCAAATATACAAAAAATTTGCTCTATCAAAATTTATGTTTTTATTAGGTACTATTTTTATGAAACGGATTTGTAACTCGCTTAGCATGTTTTTCAATGTACCTAGCAGAAAAAAACATGCGAATACATGAACTTACGAGCCCTGATAATAATACATTATCACAGAGATGGACATAATATAAGAGTTAAGCATAAATATATGATATATATAAATATATGTTTGAATTAAACGACGAGATGGTTTGTAGTTATTGCACCATCTATGTAAAATATCTGAAATAGACATCACGGTTATTATAAATTTCTATGACATTTTTTTAAGTCCATAATAGTATCATTAATATCCATACTCCGCAGACATACAAAAACAATCTGTGATAATATCGATAATATCTGTATTAAAAACTAATCGGTTCCCAGTGGTTCCCACTATGAATTAAGAAAGGGTGCATGACGATTGTACATGAAGAGAATTGAAGACTATAAACTTTCTAATATTTATTAAATAACCGTTATAAGTACACTACTACTGAACATTTGAACCTTTATCATTGTTGATCATGGATACTCGCGTTTCGCTACCGGGCCATAATTTAAGCACAAAATTATAAACATTTTTTTTTTTAGTATTTCGACCTATTTTTTGTGAATAGAATTAATTTATGGGACTCATTGTGTTTTTGGGAGTTTAAACTCGAGATTTCTTTAAATTTATTCTTACTCAATAAATTTTACTTTTTTGTGGATCTAATGAAAAAATATGAGTAATAAGAAATAATTAATAGCGTCGTACAATATATGTGTATGAACTAACAGATTACTAACATAGAATAGATAAACTTGACATCTTTATTAAAAGTTAAAAAAAACTGCGTTAAAAATGAGCACCAATTAATTAAATTGATATTAACTGTTCTTGATTTAATGTCAAGGATCTACTAATTTCCAGTTTTTTTAAAATATTTTAATTAATAAAACATTAAAATGTATTTAAAAACATTTAATCTTGATTACAAAATGTAAGGCGGTTAGGCATACTCTGTACTTAACTAATGTACACATAATTGCACTTAATATTGTTCAGCTGTTCAGAGAACAAAGCATTTTAAGTTCATATTCCATAAAATCATTGATTTTTATTATTTATTACATCATTTTGATTTTTTTCTTTTACCGTGGTATTATCATGAATAAACTTAAAATAATAATTATGCTCAATGATAGAATAGTCTGAAATTCAAAAAAAAAATTTCCAATTTTATATTGTAGACAACATTTTTAAATAAAATTAAATGATAACAGATAAAATATAACAAATATTTAATAAGACACATAGTAAACAATCAGTAAATTTCACTAAGTGAAATTCTTATAAAACAAAATTCACAAGATGAAAAATATATTATATATTTTGGGACGGTAGTATCAGCACATTCTAGTAGTTTAGATAATACAATAATATTATAAAACTATAGATATTAAAATAACTTATAAGGATTAAACTATACCTACATTTAATTTAATCACATTAATTAGAAAAAACAAGAGACACAATAAATAATAATACACTCTAACACAATGTTTATATATTTATCATGTACAAAGTTAACAATAATAATCGAAAATAGTAATATGAGTAAAAACAAACACAGAGTTCTTTTTTAATTATTTATGCAAAATAGTTGTAATCAATGAGTGTGTGCTATTAGCCATTAAAATGCTCTGGTGATCATAGTCTTAGTATAACAAGACTATAATATTAATTAGTGAGCAATAAATATAAACCTCATATATATTATGATTAAAAATATAATAAAATATATAACAGTTCTGTGGCTAATGTAATGTTACGTGATTTTAAAAACTGGACCAATGCGTGAAAATATTCTGCCAAGGACAGTTTTCAGTTCGGGTTTTAGATCAATACTGATCATTTCACATAATAGAGGATAGTGTGTAGAAGATTGCACAGCAAACTGTAATAAATAATTGAGGTTTTATTTTTATAAATATTATATTACTAAACTAAAATAATTTGAATATACCTTGTCTTCAGGTAATTTGTATAGTTTAGTAAATATGAGCAATAAAATAGGATTCCATGAAGTTCGGTGGTAATGATTGTTCAATGATAAATAATACTGAAAAGAGTCATTTATAACAGTACTAGCCACATTTTGAGCATGTGCCCAATGCACACGCCGTGACTCATCACATATAGCTTTTAGTGCTATTCTCAATACACAAGCTATACTTTGAGTTTCTTGTGTAAGCATATTTGATATATCATCATTAACTGTAGAAGTAAATAGATAAGTAAAATATGATAACTAAGAATTCATTTTTAAGATTTTTCACTTACCATAACTTCGCTGTGGAATGTTTTGCAATAATGTGTAGTTATATT